CAATGGTATACCATGTATCTGTATAAAGAAATATTTCTCAGAAATAGCTCCACATATAATTATGGAGTGATCTCTAGAATATATTATCAAGTGGTAAAATCAAGAGGAGAAATTGTATGTAATACCTACCATTTATCAGTGCGAGATGACAAGAAATAAATATGCATGCATACTTATATAAAAATATAGAAGGATAAACCAACATCATTTCAAAAAATGTTTTTGCACTATTATGAAACAAAATAAATTTTAAAAAATCAAAATAAAACAAATAAATCTATATATTTAATTGACAAAACTACAGTAAAAGGAATAATTTCAAATTACTTTAAGATACAATGATGACTATATTTTAGTGAAATAGTCTCAAGGAATAAAGCAGTACAAAGTGTTTCCAACTGTTTTTAGAAAACAAAATATTAATAGATGTCTTAGTATAATTATCCTGAAATATATGCATATTGGATGTATGTACCTTGTGGGATAAAGCAAATTAACAATTACGTTGATGCCATTGAGAACTGGAATTTTCTGCACAGCAGTGATTCCAATGTAAAATTGATGAAACTAAGTAAAATTTGTGGTCCTAAATTTAAATTGGACTTTTCAGTATTGATTCATAATTCATTTTATAGATGTACATGCATTTCCTTTTTATATCTACTTAGAAAGCCTAGAAACTGATGAACTCAGTTAAGAGTGTGCAAATGTTAGACCCAAATTGTGGTCTCTGAAAACAATTTCTCACTGAAATGAACCATGGCTCCTTAGAAAAATGGCTTTGTCTGGGACCAAGAAAACAAGCTGACTGGGCACATGGCTCAAGCTGTAATCCCAGCACTTTGGGAGCCTGAAGCAGGTGGATCAGAAGATCAAGAGATCAAGACCATTCTGGCCAACATGGTGAAACTCCGCCTCCACTAAAAATACAAAAATTCACTGGGCATGGTGCACGCACCTGTAATAACAGCTACTCGGGAGGCAGAGGCAGGAGAATTACTTGAACCCAGGAGGCAGAGGTTGCAGTAAGCCGGCACGCACCTGTAATAACAGCTACTCGGGAGGCAGAGGCAGGAGAATTACCTGGACCCAGGAGGCAGAGGTTGCAGTAAGCCGAGATCAGGCCACTGCACTCCAGCCTGGCAAGAGAGCAAGACTCGATCAAAAAAAAAAAAAGAATAAGTTATGTCAGGAACAGATTCTCATACTAGAAAATCACAACAATGAAATTAGGAAATGCTCACAAATGCTACAGTGGAATCAAAAGAACTTAGGAAACAACCTGAAGATGGCCAAAGAAAGACAATTTTAGTGTTAGAAAATGATTGGTAATTTTGTTAAATGTTGGCAATCATGATTTTGTAGATAAACATCAGTTTCCTGGAAGTGCATGCAGAAGTATTTAGGAGTAATGTCGTGAGGCAAGAAACCTACAACAAAAAAAATCCAGTACGATAAAAAAGACAGAGATAGGCCGGGTGCGGTGGCTCAAGCCTGTAATCCCAGCACCTTGGGAGGCCGAGGCGGGTGGATCACGAGGTCAAGAGATTGAGACCATCCTGGTCAACATGGTGAAACCCCGTCTCTACTAAAAATACAAAAAATTAGCTGGGCATGGTGGCGCGTGCCTGTAATCCCAGCTACTCAGGAGGCTGAGGCAGGAGAATTGCCTTAACCCAGGAGGCGGAGGTTGCGGTGAGCCGAGATAGCGCCATTGTACTCCAGCCTGGGTAACAAGAGCGAAACTCCGTCTCAAAAAAAGGAAAAAAGGACAGGGATAAATTAAATATGAGATGATGTTAACCATCTTGGAGTCTGAATTGTAGATACATGAATATTTGTTGCATATTTCCTTCTACTTCTCCACGTTTCAAATGTTTCATAATAAACACTTTAAAATGTAAGTTAAAGCAGCCAAGTGCTCTCTTTTTGTCTCTTTGCTTAATATAAGTTTGAATTCCCTCTTGGCCATACTTTTTCTGAGTTTCACAATTTGAATGTAATAATATGATAACACTGAAAATCAAGAGAAACAACTTGAAAGGTCAGTAACTAGTTTGCCACTCACTGTAGAAAACAAACGGAACTTTAACATCACACCTTGCTTTTGATGTTTTATAAAATCAACTTGGTTACTGTCATTACTCATCAGGCTTAGTTCAAGTGACTTTGGTAATTTCAAAAATGCATACTCTACTAAAAAATAAAAATGTAAGGATATTGGCTATTTTGTGCCTTGGGTTGTGAGTTTCTAAAGAGGAATTTTAAAAGTGGTTTGATTCAAGAAAGCCATTATAGAAAGTGTGTGATCTGCTTATGTGCTTATTTCCAAAAAGACAGCTCTCATATAAATGCTTAGTTTTATGTATATTTGTTAAAAATGCAAACCAGTTATAAATCATATCTTAGTAACACTTTCATTCATCTTTGAATTCCATTCTGTACACAGTGCACATGTCATTGAATAGAAATAAACAATGTAACCGAATCTTGTAAAAGTTTTAAAGATAATTCCTGTGCTACATATATTTCTAAAAAGCCATTTCATTCATTCATTTTCAAAGAGGTTATTTGAGATAATTATTCTAAAATCACTTTTGCTATAGAGGGCATTGTTTTTAAGGCATGTTTTAGAGTTATTATTTGCCCATATTAAGTCTGGTTGTAAGTGGTATAAAACCCAATATAAGTGGCCTTAGTCTGTTTCTCTCCAAGGTTGCCCTATGACTAAAATGGCTTCTAGTCCAGGGCCAAATGTTCTTCTAGAGAAAATTCTAAACCTAAGGCGTTGACTTACTGACCTCTGTGCTCTGCCATTCTCTCATATCTCATTTTAATAGTGCTCATTTGGAGAACATCTAAAGCAAAAGGCTTGGATCAGAAGGTGACACCTGCAGTGCCATGTCTGCTGATGTTTGAATGGCAGTGCCCAGCCTCACGTCCTACTAATACTGACATTTAAAGCTGCTGCTCCTGGTGGTCTCAGGCACACAGAAGCAATTGGCCTTCTCAACCAACAATTCCATATTAGAGAGCTCTCAGTCAACTTAGACTGCTGGCTGTCTGGTTCTGGGGCTGGCAGCTGGAGCAAGGGCTTCCTGGTTGCACAGATTTCTTTCTGGTTGTGGCAAGATCAACAGTTCTATTTGGCAGGCCAAGTTTTTTGTTTGACTTTGGAAGACATCCCTGGAATAGGAGCCTAGAGTCCCTTTAGAGTCCGTTTCTTCATCTCTCTAAATGATTCTGTAATGATTTCTCTTTAAACTGGCTAGAGAGAATTATGTTCATTGTATCTAAACCATTACCTCCTCAGAGGTATTTGTTTTATTACATAAAATGTTATGTGGGCGTCAACATGCAACATGGATAAAAGCAGTGTGGCTCTGTTTGTGGTATGCGGAGGGGGTGGGAGCAGTGAGGTGAAGGGGAAGAACCAGGAGCCCAACTCCCATGTTCCCCAGTTTTTCATTCCACCATCCAGCATGGTCCCTGAGGCACCTCTGAGGAACTGAACCCCAAGACTCCCAAGCCACTATTTGAAAGTCAGTTAACACGTTCACTATTAATTATTAAACACACACATCAAATTGTAGCAATCATGTAAACAAGGTATGGTGTTCTCTAGGTGTGCCTGTGCAACCACGAGTTATATGCCAGAAGGAGATAAAACTTTTCAAAAGCCTCACACAGAAATCTAGGTATTGGTCTGAAGCTCCCAGCCTGGACTGCGATGACTATCAGCATGGCGTGCAGGTAGGGCTGGAGAGCCCTGTGTCCTGCCTGCCACACATGCATGCATTTCCTGTTAGATCTGTGTCTTGGCCGCTCTTTGGAGATCCTTGTATTGTTTAAGGTCCCACTGGTCAAAGCAGCTTCTGCTCAGACCGATGGTTTCTGCTAACCCCGGGTCCTCTCTCTCACAGCTGAACTTCAGACCAAGGCGACAGGTTAATTCTTCTGCGTATTTACAGCTAGGATTTGACTTGGTTTGGGGCACTGATTTTGCTAATGTCCTCGCTTTGGACAACTGCCTCCTTTCTATGCCTCGCTGAGAGCCCCAGCAAGCCCAACTGGCCCGTCATTCGCATCAACACAGGCGGGGCTCCTAGCAGATGCCGGGGGTTCTAACTCCCTGTATCTCAGCAGAGGCCGCAGTGGGCAGGCATGCTCCATCAAGTGTGCACTTTCACCCTGCACTGAACTTGAATACCTATTTTTTCTTAATGGCTTATAAGGAATCCTGAACATCCCTCTCCATCTCTTTTTCTCCTCAGAGCCAGTCCTAGGCAGCCTGCTTCCTCTCTGCAGGCCCCTGCCCTAGGCCCTCTTAGTCTAAATTGTCAGCCCCAGAAAAGTGCCTGCAGTCTCCAAGATGCTTATCTCCAAGAGGAGGCCATACGCCATCCTGTGCCAACCTGGTCAGGCTGCTCATGTGCGACTGTGGTCAAGTTCCTGGACTTACCATGCCTCAGGCTCCTGGGTTTGGAATTTGTGGGGCCTAAGGCTTCTCTCTTCTTTGAGAGGATACAGCTCTAATGAGTACATGTTTCTAAGACATGACAGCCATGTAGGAGGCGTTTCTTCACATGCCCTAGAGAGGTGATTGTTCTGATTCTCTGAAATAGACTTCACAGTTTAAGGGCATCTGAACCATGGAAAAGAAAGATGTTTTGTACCTGAAAAGTTATTTGTTGGTCCTGGTTTGGGATGTTTACACCAGAATTTTGAAATATGCCCAGTAATTAACTGACATGTGAAGACTTATCATGTATAAGTCCCTGTGTTTAGTATTGAGTGGCTTCTGAGAAACAGAAGGGAATTATTTTGCTCCTGGATGAAAGGTGTGAAACAGAAGATAGGTGCAAGTCAATTTGACATTTAAAAAGAGAGAGGTACCTGTATTCTATTACAACAGGTAGGAGTCCATGTTGAGAATGAGGAATTGGAATCTTAAAGTAAGTGAAAAAGACGTCAAGACATTTAAAAAATAAAGGCATTAGAACAATAGTTAATTAATGTATTTCAAAGTATTTTATGCATTTTAAAACACATCTAATATATACATTTAACACATTTAACTTGAAATGCATTTAATACAAAATATGCTTCAATTATTTTAAAGCAAGTATAATAAAAGAGAAAAGCAAAATCATGCTATGTATTAGAGACTATGCTATAGCAATAAAATTTATTTTAATTATATATTTTTGCTAATACGTTTTCACACATAAAATATGAGCTATTAAATTATTTTATCCTTTTTAGCCATCCAGTTGTTGCACAAAATTGTAAGCACTACAAACATTAAATCACATTCTTGCACACACAATTCCACTGTTCTTTGGTTTTCAGTAATATCTACCACATCTATTTGAAACAGTCTCAGCTTTAAACTTTTGTAGAACATTCATGTTGCTCCCGTGTGTTCTAACCAGGCTTCCAAACTGATGGTTTCACAGTCACTCAGTGTTTTTCTTGGATAGCTATTATTTTTGAGCTCATCAAGAAGGCTCCCAGTGCTGGGCTCCCTTTAGGGAGAAAGACATGTGTCTTTCAATGTCAAAAGAGGCAGATATTCAATGGAGAAATATCTTTTGCCTTCTAGATACGCTTCTCTAATATGCTTTTCTACGTGTGCAAACATCCTCAAATCAAAACTGCTGTCCTCCCTAGATCTGCTTCCCTTCCCTGCTCTGTAGCTTCCATTAGTCCGCTGCTAAATAATCGATCTAAGAAATCATTAAAAATGATGATAAAAATAGTCATGGCAACACTGACAGACTGCTGAGTCTGTGCCAGGAACCACTGTAAGTACTTATATTTATTCATTTAGTACCCTTGGGAGGTAGGTCCAATTATCAAAAATTCGAATTTTACGGATGAGGAAACTGAGGCATGGAGAGATTGGATAAGGTTCCAGAGGTCGCAGAAGTAAACAGCAAACTCAAGATTGGAGCTCATGATGGGCTCCACAGCCCATGTCTTAACCACCACACCATGCTGCCTTCATGCTAGGGGCATTTTAAACATGTAACTTTTAAAAACCAAGCAAGTAACTATCAGGTTTTTTTTTGTTGTTGTTTTTGCTCTTCGATGGCTAATACAATCTGGCAAACATTTTGATATAAACATTCACACAAAATCAACAAATGTTTCAAACCATCAAAAGTGAAAGGCCCAGTTAATTCTCTAAATTAGAATTTGTGTCTCTTGTGAAAGATAAAAAGGCATTCCAGGGTCCTTTTAAAAAGTTCCCATAAATAGATCCACATAAGCAGGCTCTGCATTGCAGGGCCTTACTGGGCTTTCAAGAAGCACTGGCTGCAACTGTGGCTGGGATACCTTAAATGCATCCTGAGGCTGAGGCCCGGCCAGCCCCTCCTCCCACATCCCATGCACAACCAGATCCACGGTGTTAGGGAGTGAAAGCAGCATTTCAGTTACTCTGTCACCCACTGGTCCCCAGAAAATGCCTCTTCGTGTGCTTAAAATCCCCTCATTTAAATTAATCACTGGGATTAAAACTCTTGGAGATGCGCCCTTTGTAAGGCATAGGTTATTTTGCCTCATGCCCAGCTTCACACTTGCTGAATATGGGATTAAGTATGAGCAGCTGCACCCAGTTGTGGAAGAGGGAGAAAAAGAAGAGCTCCATTTCTTGAATTCCAGGTCTTCTGGGAGCACATGGCCACAGCCCACAGCTCAACCTTTAGTCTTATTCCCGTCCACCTAACGATAAGTTTCATCTTCAAATTGTGAGCAGGATTTTTACAGTTAAATATTTAGAGTTACAGCCTTTGTAACAAACAGGTTCATATGCTCAGTCCCCAGAATATCTCAAGTTCTTTTTGGCATTCAGCGTTTCTGAAGATTAAGACTCTGAAAGAACAGGCAAGACTTCCAATTCATCCCTACCTGGCTTGACTGTTTTTGCAGGCATTAAGTAAAGAAGATTCTTCCAGAACCTTGAGTTATAAGAAAGAGAATTTTTATCCTTCCACTTCAGAACTCTGTGAGATTTCAAAAGCTTTAGTGACTGGGGCAAGAATGTGAAGTCAGTAACAGGTGCAAATTCAATTAAGATTATTTTAATTTTTCTTTCCACCAATGCTTCATGGAGTCCACTTTCAAGTTCATACCTGACCTCATTAGACATATAACTTTTACTTAGAACAATGATTAATCTTCTGCTTTTCTCTATCAGTGAGTGGATTTCATCAACAACAGCTGAAAATGCAAAATGTGCCATATTAATTCAAGATAACGGAAAGGGGCAGCATGAGATAAAAATCATTTTGCACAGTACTATTTTATATTGTTTAACTCTTAACCTCATTAATAAGTTTTTCTTTAAGACAAGCCATTTGTCCTCAATTTTATAGGCTTCTTTAAAAAAATATTTAGGCAACAATAATAATGAACACCTACTTAGCACTTATTATACCATACCTTATCTTAAGTGTTTTTGGTATATTATCTTATTTAATCATCATAATACCCTGTAGAGAAGATATTGTTATCACTGCCATTTAACAGACGAGGAAGCCAGACCACAGAGTGGTTAGGTAACCTGCCCAGAGTCACACAGTAGAAAATGGCAGAACCAGAATCTGAACCCAAGTGGAATACATTTTCCTAACTATTATACTGTCCTGTTTCTCCTCAAGCATAAAAGAGCATGCTAAAACCAGCATTTAAAGATTAAAAGACAAAAAAGCACAACCAAACAAAATCATCCATTATTTTAGACCAGGGATTGGCAAACTTCTCTACCAAGGGCCAGATAGTAAATATGTTAGGTTTTGCAGGTCACACTGTCTTTGTCACAACTACTTAATACTGCTATTGTAACTCAAACGCAGAGGCAGGCAATGTGAAAACCCATGTGTGTGACTGTGTTTCCATTGGCTGCAAGCGTGATGGAACCCATGGCTGGTAAATTGCTCACCCCTGTTCTAGACCTCTCACTATTCTCAAATAGAGGTTTAATGGTTTAACCACACCTAATTACAACTGAATATTCAAACATGATTCTTATTTACGAATTAAGAATAAATCTATTTTCAAGAAAGACCCCTAGAAAATAACGGAAATATGGTAAATTGTTGTGTGGCCCAGAATAAATGCTTTGTAAGCAATGATATGCCTTCTTAAATGCAAAAAAAAAAAAAAAAAAAAAAACACTAGTGAAAAATACCACAATGTATGCATCTGATAATCTGGCATATTATCTTTTTGACAAGTTGTTTATTACTAAACAGTAATGTAAGTTAGCAATATTTTCCCTTCTAATTTGGAATATTGGGTAGAAATGTAACTATTCCTTTCTCACTGCTATATCTGTAATGCCCAGTTCGGAACTCGGCATAGGGATGGTTTCCAATTAATATTAGATTAATAAATGAATGATGGTGCCAATAAAACATTTGTGTTTTTTTTAAGCATCAATATCCAGAATAATTTGACCCCAGATTTTAAATGTCTGTTCTGGAAGACTTCAAAGAAAACCTAAAAATGTTACTCATTTTTAAAAATTTTAACTGTAACTTGCTTTAATATATGCACTATGGCCGTTTGTATTCCTATATTCATAAAAAAACATTGAATTTCATAGTTATGACCTGATGGGGATCGCCACTTCCCTTTTATTTTTCCCTTTTAAATTTTCCTATTTTCTACTTAAATTTCATAACCAATTTCAACACAATAAAAATCATGCATTTTTCTAGTAATAATTATCCTGTGTTTATTTCTAGTAAGAATTACTATTAAGAATTAACTAGTCCACACTACACGTGTTAAATTAGGGACTGCTGCTATGGTATAGACATTCTTACCATGGGTCATTTCTGAATAAATGCTTCATGATAACACCAGCTCTGGACCTGATTCTGAAAAGGAGATGCCCTCTTCCTTTCCCCAAATTTTCAGAGAATCATGAAACACAAAGAACAGTGCCCAAGAGAAAAGACTACTGGAAGCAGAGTAGTTTGTTTTCTCACTATCGATTGTTGACTTACCTGGTTATTTCTGGCTTAAAGGACCTTATTCATTTGTTTTTAAGGAAAATGGGATAGCCATCTGAGGGCTAGCTTATTCACTTTTTAAAAAGGAACTATCTCGAATATTTTTCTGTCTGACATTCCCTCTTACCTCCTCCAGGCACTACATCCCTTTCAAATATGCATAACTTATACCCAAAATGTTTCTCCAACACTCTGGGCAAAATCTCCACAGCAAAGGTGTGCTCCTCTCCATTTTCAGGTCGGCATTCTTTTAGGTAAGACACAAAAGCATCATACGTTTTTCCATCTAGGAGGTAAGATTGACACTTTTAATTCATGTGTAAACACAATTTTGTTTAAGTAAAAATATAAGTGAATGTCATAGATAATGAGTATAGAATCATCAACAAAGAAAAATTAAATATAAAGTTGTTTGCCGGGCTTGGTGGCTCACGCCTATAATCCCAGCACTTTGGGAGGCAGAGGCGGGTGGATCACGAGGTCAAGAGATCGAGACCATCCTGGTCAACAAGGTGAAACCCCGTCTCTACTAAAAATACAAAAATTAGCTGGGCATGGTGGTGTGCACCTGTAATCCCAGCTACTCGAGAGGCTGAGGCAGGCGAATTGCTTGAACCCAGAAGGCGGAGGTTGCAGTGAGCTGAGATCGTGCCATTGCACTCCAGTCTGGGTAACAACAGCGAAACTCTGTCTCAAAAAAAAAAAAAGTTGTTTATATTTAAATCTCCCATGCTAACCAAGCAACCAGTTAGCCAATGTGTTTTTAAGGAACTACTTTGAGATCCCACTGCTTGACACCATAGAGGAATAGAGAGACATATGGGCCATAGATCCAGGCACTAAAGGAACTGAAGTCTTTCAGTTCCTTAGAAATCCAGGATCCCAAATGTGTCCTTGTTCCAGGAGTGGAAAGCAAAATCTCACCCTGGTTTACTTGTGTCACTAATTCTGCCACCATCCCAATCTCTTAACTCAAAAAGACCCCGAAGAAGGTGAAGAGAGAAGCAGCGCAGTTTACACTGTAATGTGGGGAAAAACTAGAGGTGAATGAAACAACATGCTGTAGGAACACATGCTGTGATATTTTTAAATATTACAGAATATAGATGTCAAAAGGAAAACTTCTGATCCATTGATGATTTTCACTGATGATAACATCTCCTCTCATTTGATTTCTGATCATGGAACCATACTCAGGTGACTAAACAGAACAAATTCAGCAGGAAATGTTTTTTCTACATAACAAAGACCATGCTCCTAACTGGGTAATTAAAACATGATACCAGTCTCTCTTCTAGCTTCATCCAATCTATTTGAAAAAGCAAAGCGGACCCATGCAACAACTTGAGAAAAGTTACAGGCAACACATTAGCAGAAGAAAAATGGCATAATAAACAAACAAAAAAATAAAACTAACAAAACTCACAGACAAAATAACCTGGCCAGAGAATAAAGAGTGATCCCAATGGACATGCTTTCTGAAAAGAGGAAATTTTGAGTCAGTCCTAGAAAATGCAACAAATGCTAATTGGGATCTGTAGAGAAAGAAGGAAAGCAGTGGGCAATGGTCTGTCTTTATCCTATGATGATTGTTTTGACCGGAGAGGGGTAAGATTTCTGCATGGTATATTATCTGGATCAATGAATTTGCTACTGAGTTACAGGCTACATATAATTGCATCCCCTGTTAAAATCTAATAGGACAAAACCATTTCAGATCTACATCTCTTATGGTGCCATATCATTTATGTTCAACAGCCCAGCCTGACATCCTCCACAGCACTTAACACTCACCAAATGACCCTTTCAGCTTCTGGTAAAAGCTTCCTCAGTTCAACCTACAGCATTCTGTTCAACAGTTTGGGTTAGAAACTATTGTTGATTTAAAGCAATTGCTTTGCAGAACTGCATGTTTTAAAAGATGAAAAAATTTGGTAAACATTTTAGGCTTACATAAACATAAAAGGTACGAAATGTTGGTAAAAATAAAACCAGTTATTAATCAGCAAGTAGGTCCTCTCCATACTTTTCTTAAACTGCTATGAAATATAACTACTTACTAGTTAAGTAAGAGCTAGTGCTTCCACTAGGATTGTCACTGTATCAGTGACAAAACAGACACTAACACGGAAGACAATTAAATGAGCACACGTTTTTAAAAGGCGTATTTTTCTTGTGATGTAGCAGATTGCAATAAGCTGGGAAGACAATTTCATCAAATATGGGTTTATAGTACATGTAATATAGCTTTGCTCTTACCTATGAAAAATTAGCTTTTCAACTATCAATTGCTTTCAAATTTCTTATTTTAAGCAATTTTTTAAATATTAATCTGCTAATTTATATTATGATTTATTTTAAATCCAGGTAGTAAAAGGTTTAGTGGATTTGAGAATTGACAGAGTAAAGTGTTCAAAAGAAAAGGAATTTGAAAGCTAATGGTAATTTTTTTATTCTTTATATTCAAACATAAGGGGAAATTATAAAGGAAATCATAATTCAAATGGATATTTAGGACTTCAAGGAGTAAAGTTTCTCAAACTCTGCATGGTAAATGGCCACTTTTTAATTTTAATTTGCCTTTTCTGTTGTTGACTGATGAGTTTCATTTCCGGTCCTTCACAAACCAATACTGAACACTTTCTTAGATACTGCAGCAGTATTAAATTGCTATAAAAGTTTTTATTTTCAGACTTATATCTGCATTTCTGTCCTTTTCATGGACTGCATTTGTTCACGGACCATAATTTAATGAAATTGATTTAGAGCATGTCTGTAAATGTCTCTGCTCTGTGCACTGCCATATTGACAGTTAAGAAGTGTGAAGTGAAAAAACTACCTGGAAATTACGTCAAACACAATGGAGAAGAAAAAAAGAAATCTTAGCTCCAGAAAGTTGGAAAGAGAGGAGCTAGTCAATGTCTATTTGAAGACAAACGCTGCTCTATGCAAACAGAGACCATTCGGAATATATCAAATACAGATTTCCCAGTTTGCTGGGACCTCCTCTCTCCCCAGAGCAAAATCACACATGTACATACAGGCTCCAAGCTCACGAATCTTGCTAATTTTATGTTGTTCAATTTAAAGTTCCAAATGTGAAAACTACACCTATAAAAATCTCAGAGGAACTAATATAATTTCTGTATAACTTGAGGTCAGGAAGGCTGTTTTACTTATGAGCCCAAATCCAGAAAGCATAAAAGATATATCTGAGTATGTTTTTCAAAAAGTCTTTTATATAGCACACCACTACAAGCAAAGTCAAAAGACAAATTACAAATATTTGTATTTCATATTATAGTTAATAGGCTAAACTCCCTAAAATATAAATAGCCCCTAGAAATAAATATGCAAATTAAAGTCTTCACCCCATGGAACAATAGAGAAAGGATATGAATGGATGTGTTGAGAAAGGAAATGCAGGAGCCTTATGCAAATTAAAAGTTGCTCATACTCTTGCATAGTAAAGGAAATGCAAATTAAAATGTCACTTAGATACAACTTTTCACCTATCAGATTGGCACAACTCCAAATGGTTTTGGGCAAGGTTATGGGAAAAAAATTGCTGTCATCCTTTGAAGGCGGTAGGCAGGATGAACTGACAGTATCTATCAAAATAACGGCCATGTCTCCCCCTTGTATTCCAGAATCTCCATTTTGGGGAATTTTTCCTTGAGACATACTGCATACATATGAAATAATAAAGCTGTCCATGACAGCATTTTTGAAATAACAGAAGATTGGAAGCAAGCCAAATGTCTATCAAAAGGAGGCTAAGTAAACAGTGGTATCTCTACACAAATAACATACTGTGCAGCCCTAAAAAATGAGGGACTTCTTTATAAAGTAGCATGCAAGTGTGTTTAAGGTATAAGAGAGCAAAGTTAAAAAGCATATGCATATTAAGCCAAGATTTGTTCTATTTAAAAGAGGGAGTGGAATAAGAATCCATATTTACATTATCAATAAAGGGGGAAGGTGGGAATCATAGATGTGGGACCAGGCTGGAAGGGGGACTTCCTGCTGTATAATTTCATAGATATTTTGGGTTTCGAACTATGTGAATTTTTTTTTTTTTTTTGCTGCAAACACACACATGCAAAAACAAAATCAAGTGCAATGAATTAGACAGACTTCCTTTCGATTAGTAATTATCTGGAAACCTGAGGACTTCTAGTCACCTTTAAATATAAAGAAACTGAGGCATAGAGCTAGTGGGTCAACATAGCAGCAAATAAAAACTGGCAGATCTAGACGACCAGAACCAAAATCATTTGGCTTCCAGCTCGGGGTTCTGACACGTCCATCATGTAAGCCTTTATCTATCTATTTCAAGCCAGGTTGAAATAATGAGCGATAGGACAATTCAATCCAACTTAAAGCAACTTTATTGAATATTATAAAGGTACCAAGGTGATCTGTGCACAGAGACATTCAGATATACAGTTTCTGGGCTCAAGCATCTCCTAGGGCATTTAGGAGGCCCTGACATACATTATACGAGACAATCAGGACAATTTTGGGCAACACATAAGTAAGCACAAAAAAAGATGACACAACCAACATTCATTATGGATGGCACAGGCAGAGCAATATTTCCCAGAGAAAACCTCTCCCACAGATTAATTCTATAACATCATCTCAATAAGATGAAGATTAATGTCTATTTATTTGATTTCTTACTCAGACTATATGATAAGGAATCCCAGAATTATATGTGTTACCTGTTAATGTTTCATCTGTTCTCATTAAATGTCTATAAAGCAGAACCAAGTCAACTCTATAAATGACGCACACAGTCACTAGGCACACTACTGTCACCAAGGTCAAAACAGCTATGATCATTCCTCTTGTAAAGATGTGGCCTGGGATATCAGCCATGGCTGCTAGAAAAGAAGAAGAAAAGGGAAAAGAAAATAATCAAGAAATCTTACCAGTGTTGCCCATCGCCACGTGCTTGTCCATTTTTACTGTTAACTGTAATGCAGTAGTTGCCTAGCAAAGTGCTGACACATTCTGCTGAGTGACTCCACATTCCTGCCTTTAGTCTGGAGTATGATAATTCTACTCAAGTTTTTAAAGAATAAAAATGTGTACAAGGATATTTAGAGACCTGAAGTGAAACATTACATAGTAATGTATTCTGTCCATACCAGTGGAAATCAGATTTCTCAGGCAAAGAGATACTAAGCTGAAATACACAGGGATTCACAGAAATCTTATCAATGCGTTGAGAACATAAATAGAGGTGAATAGTTTTGCGAGAAGAGAAAGTACTGGATTGACATTTGTCTGGGTTTGCAGCCGGGCTCCATCAATTATTTTGTATTGTAGGAAAAATCGTGGATGACCCTAAACCTTAGCACCTTCATCTGTAAAATGAAGATACTAACACTTCCTGCTTCACTTCTAAGGCTGCTCCTTTGGGGAAGATTAAATGAAATATTACACAAAAAGTAGTTAATATAGCACACAGCTCTTGGAATTTTAGCAAGTTCTTTGTATAAAATTGCCGCTTGGAAAAAAAAGTCACATTTTTTAGATTGATTCCATTTATGCTCCTTATGGACAATATAAGATAACACAGATGAATAAAAAGAATAAAGTAATTTTTAACAACCATCCACAATGTGGCGAAGGCTGTGTCAACATGATAGAATATTTCCTTCTGGGTTTTCTTTCTGTCTCTTAAAGTTTTTACTTAACTGAGATCATACGGTAATCACTCATTATTTCTGAATATTATGAGCATTTTCATAGGTCATTAAAATTAAAATTCATAACATTCTAAAATTTAGATTGATTGGAATTTGTAGTAAATATACATAAAGTTGCAGTACATTTTATATGTATACACATATATGCATGTATATATGTACATACATACACAAAAATGCATATACCTTTATCCATATTTCTAATTCTTTTCTTAAAATACATTGTAATGGTGGGGGCATCTCTAGGTCAATAAGTATAAACATGCTTAAAACTTTTGCCATCTTGGTACAATGTTCAGAAATTATCTTTCTGTATCTTTCCACTATGGATTCAGGTAAGCCGCTAATGTTGCTTAATAAGTGAACTCTGGACAGAGCCAGGGTCTGGAGCTCCTGTACCTTTGAAAGGACTGCAGAGTTATAACTGTGTCACACTTTTACACAGACACACACACACACATTGGCAAGCAATTCCTCCCGGGGTAATGGTGGGTTGTGAGCTCCAATTCCTAAGCCTACATTTGTGAGAGCAGCAGCAGGAGAACTGACAGGTTGGAAGTGTCTAGGGCAGGAATAGAACACTCCTGCCCCGCTCTAAGAGGGGAGAGGCGGCTGGTGGTGAGCAGGCCCCAGGAAAGCCTACCCAGGCAATGGTCCAACAAAAACAAGATTTGAGCCCCGCTCCCTCAAGAGTGAGTGAACACAGATTCCAGTTCAGAGTTTCAATACCTTTACCTGCCATTTGACCTTGGGCAGGTTTCTTCACCTCTATAAAGCTGTCGTTAAGACTGGATGAGATCATGGGAGGAGCTCCGCCAGATCCTGTCATGTAATGACCATGTATGGAATGTGAGCTGTTGTTATGAGTGCATGTGGTAGAGAGGCGGCTCTAAAACATGTGTGCTAAGGAGCTGCCCCCGAGCACCAGGAGAGCCCAGCTGGAGGGGGTTTCCAGCCTTTGTACTCTTCCTGTCCCACTCCTTCCATTTGTCACAAAGCCAAGGCCTAGGCTGTATGTGTGGCTCTCTCTGCATGTCTGTGTGTGTCTGCTGTGTATCTTTCTCTCCATTACTCTGTCTGTCTGTTTCACTCTCATTTCTCTGTCTCTGCATCTCTTTGTGTCTCTTTCTGTCTCCCTCTCTCTCTGTTCCTCTAGATGTGTCTCTTCTTGTCTCTCTTATTTCTCTCTCTCTCTGTGTCTCCATCTCTCTCTCTCTTATCTCTGTCTTCATCTCTTCAGAGTTGTCTGTTTGTCCCTCTGTCTCATGTATCTCTTTCTCTTGTCTCTGTGTCTGTCTTTCCCTCTCTCTGTCTGTCTCTGAAGGTGTTAGTCTCTGTCTCTCTCCCTTTCTCTCTCTCTTGCAGATCTTGACCTTTCCCTACATATCCAGGGAGTTGATGGTGGAGCCTGGGAATGAACAAGGAATGAGTAGTGACAACTGGAAACCACAGCTTTCTGGCTCCAGTGACAGCCATTTCTGAGCAGCTACTGGGCTGAAGGCCCTGGGCTGTGTTACTCTGGTGGAGGAAGGGGATGGCGATCCTGGGGCCCTCCATCGGTCGGGCACTGAAAAACTTTAAGAACCCACAGATCAGGGCTATCGATGGTCTGCCTGCCAAGTCGAGGGTCTGACCCAGGATGGGGGCACAGTCAATCCTTGTTAAATAAATGTGCATGCACAAAGCCCCTGAGCCTGGTGCCCTGCTGTGGCTGGCTGGAGCAGCAGTCACACAGAGCATATACTGGCCTCACCCCACACAGATCTGCAAACTCCCCTCTGGCTTCTCTGGGTGCAGTGCTGGGTGCAGGGGCTGTCCTGATGGCCTCCCCAGGAACCTCACTCTCAGCATCTTCATGCCCAAGCTTCAACTGCTGTCCTGCTTGGGCCCCCTGATTTCCACATAAGGTGGAAATGACTGTGAGAGCAAGTGAATGAGTTTGTGTTTCCAATCTCTGTTTGGCATCATGAGACAGAGGGGCTCCGCAGAGCTGAGCACCAGCTCTATCACTGAATGCCTATCACACAAGGTGGCTGATTTCTCCTCCCAGGAGCTGGGTTCCAATGTGGAAAATGAGGATGTGATCACCTCTGAGAGATGTCTCAGCAGCAATGAGCTAAGTTTCCCCGAACCTCCAAAAATAAATCTTTCTCACCTTTTCTCACCAAGATGAAGCTTTTGGTGTCTGTGCCTCCTGTGCTGGTCACAGTGCAATTATATGCAAAATTTAGATTGTGTTCAGCAATATTTTCAATTCTCAATGCTTTTGAAGCATGCCATTTCCCTTCTGAAGTCCTGTAAGAAAAGAAAATAGTTTAGCATTAGGCTTTGTTCTTTGCCCATGAGAGGGGAATTTGTACATTTAAAATGCTGGAAGGCAGCTGCAATGTTGCCCAAATTATTTCCTCCCTTTCTAGTCAGTACTTTTAAAGCATGGACTACAATAAATGCCCCCCTCCTCTGTGGAACATCAGAACTGACAAAAACAGCCCTCATGAGGTCATTTGGGGACTGTGCTGTCAACTACCTGGCTGATGATGAGATATGCTGGCAGGATATCCACAAAGTTCAACTGAATTCAACATGTATTGGGCATGAATCACATGCTTGCTCCTGGGCAACAAGCCAGATTTTATGGTGTAAAGAGCTTGTAGACAAGTGTCAGCAAGAATGTAGAGCTGCCAGCATGGTAACAAAGAATATACCAAAAAATGTGTAAAAAGCAGAAAAAAAAACCTCAACAAGTGTAGCTAAGGTGCTAGACAACTTAGGCTAAGTTGTGTATCAGTACAATAATGAATAATTACAGTATGACCCAAAGTCATTCAGAAAAGCTTAAGTGACTATATGTTTCAACTGTTTCTTTTTATAAGTCTGACCATTTCTTAATGCAAGAATATAGGCTATTTAAGTATCAATATGCATACAATTTGGAACCTTTCTGGCATATTAGAAAAATAAACAACTTAACAAATTTTTCAATAAAGAAAAAAATCATGGCCTAAGTAGCTGCTCTTTTCTAAGAAGGTAGGTAAAATCCCCATCTCCATTGGATCCTGACTGACCAAATGCTACTTTATAAGGTGATGCTAAGTACCCTCACTGGCCTTCTTATGGACCTTCTTTTCCAGCTTAGATCTTGGCAATACATTTCTGCATAATCCAACCACCTAGGGTATGGCCATCATAATTATAAAATATGCACTTTGCAATTATAATTTAAACTAGCCCAATATACATCAGCCACCCAGTGTTTTAATATGATGTTATATATAATATGATTGTTCTATGGTATATATTATGACATATATATCACATATACATACATAATTCTTATTTCTTTCTCTTCATGTACATTAACATCCGATCCATTTTCATACATCCAATAAAGTATATCCTTTTGATTCAGCAAAGCAGAGCAGTTGAGGCTTACATCTTTTCCTGGTAAAAGTTGGCAACTAAAGTTCTGATTTTAGAAACTCAGGTTTCTCAAAAGTTTCAAAACAATATAATCAATATATGTTAACCTAATGCAAATCATGATGCTGCATCCCAGAAAGAGAATAAATATGCCTTGTTTTAAATTAAAAGAATACATAAAGCAGAAGAATTAGGTAGCAATTACAAGCCATCACCAAAATATGATTTGGCTTCTTTTTGAACATTTTTTAAAATCGACTATTAAAACTTAAGGTGATCAGTGTATTTTCTCTTCAGTACCCAGTTTAGCAAGTAGTAGCATCAGGACAATACTCTCACTGAGACTTCTTGATAAACCAAATGGACAAATCCAAAAAAAAGTTAAATTAACCAAACATTAAAGACATCAAAGTGCAGAGAAAATAAAGAGAAATTTTTGTACTAAAAATGTACTTGGGAAGGATCCCTTCCATGGTGAGCTAAGAGAGGTAGCCATTTCATTCCATGGAGGAATTTGCTTTAGTTTGGAATAAAAAGAAAGATTCTCATAGAGACAAGAACATGCAGTGAAGCTCTCAGAAGCTGCACAAGCTTGCAGAATTACTGCTAAGTGCTCAGACAGTGTAATACACTGTATAGGCTGCATGGTATCACTTGCAGTTTCATGGTAATTGGGAGAGCAAGTCCTATCAGAGAAAATGCTGCAACAAACACATGACCGCAGCAACCCCTCTCCCTACAGCTATCAGAGATGAAGGCAGATTGGATCTAACATACCTACATCCCAGCCACCCCAGCTCAGTTCTGAGTCAACTGAGATACTCAAACTCTCAGGCTACTTGTAAGAAAAAATAGCACAAACTGTATTCACTTTAATTGTTTGATACACAAAGATCAACAATAAAAAGTTAAGAGACACACAAAGAGACAGAAAATGTGCACAATAATCAATAGAAAAGATAGATAACAGAAGCAGACCTACAGATGAAGAATTTAGCAGATAAAAACTCAAAATAACTGTTTGAAAGAAAATAGAGAAAAAGATGAACGAGTGGATGGAAATATGGTCATTTTCAACAAAGTGTAATATATTTTAAAAAGAATAAAATGAATATTTTTATATCATGGATATATGATATACCAACTATAACAGTAATTTTAAATATACAGATGGACTAAACATCATACTGACCAGATTTCAAGGAAGATCCAAATACAGGCAGTTTATGAGAGACACTTATGTATAGAACAAAAAAAAGTTAGTAGTAAAGGGATGTAAAAAAAGACAAATATGCCAATTCCAAGCAAAAGAAAACTAGTGACTATTTCATATAACAGAGCAACGCATTGAGAAAGGAAATATTATGATAGATATTGAGAGATATTTCATCATGACAAAAGTGCCAATTCAACAAGCATAAATCTGTGTAGGCATATAAGAGCTCCAATGTATATAAAACAAACATTTACAGAACAAAAGAAGATAGAGACAAATTGACCTTAATAGTTGGAAATATTCATGTCTCTCTCAGAAACAGATAGAACAAGCAGATAAGAGATTGGTAAGGATATAAATTTTTTGAACAGCACCATTAACAAACTTAACCAAATTAACATTTAAAGAATAATAAAACCAAAACCTATAGACTATATCTTTGTTTCAAATGCCCTTGGAACATTCAGCAAAATATACTATATTGTAGGTCTTAAGTAAGTCATTACAAATTCCAAAAGGTTGAAATGACACTGTGTATAATCTTGGACTATAATGAAACCAAAGAGGACATCAACAAGAGACAATGACTAGAAAGTTTTCCAAATATTTGGAAATATTAAAACAACATTTTTTTGGTGGAAAAACAAATTACAAGGGAAATTTGAAGAAATGGTTTAAACTGAATAGTATGAAAATATGACAAACAGCTAAAGTAGTGCTTACTGGGAAACTTGGAGTTTGAATGTATATACTACCAGAGGATAATTAAAATTAATTATCTAACTCTTCATGTGTACAAACTACAACAAAAGGTGCAAGTTAAGCCCCACTGAGTAGAAGGAAAAATAATAAAGACAAAGAAATAAATAAAAATATAAAGCAGGTAAACCTCAGGTACAAATATCATAGGACCCCAGCTGCAATGGACACATATGGTCATATAAACCACTGTGGCTCCAACTGTGGTTATAAGGTGTGGACTTTGGAAGCAATCAACAGAGACTGCCACTTTTCAGTGATTCAACTTTGGACACGTTACTTAGCCTTTTTGCACTTCAGTTATTTAATTCATAAAATGAGAATACACGCCTCAGTGTTGCTTGGAGGATTTAATTCAATAATATATTTCCATGACCTAGCACAATACCTAGCTTAGCATACTTAGTATATGTGAATTTCTTCCTTTCCTTCTTTTTTTCCTCTTTTGAAAGAAATTACTCAATTGGACATGTTGATTCATAAGATCTAGCTAGACAAGCCCTAAATATACATATAGTCAATTCAGTCAATTGATTCAAACTCAATCAATTAATCAAACATTGAAACCACTAAATTAGTTTGAATCATCTCTCCAGAATGTTCTCATTGAATTTTTTTTTTTTTTTTTTTTTTGAGACAGAGTTTTGCTCTGCCTCCCAGACTGAAGTCCAGTGGTATGACCTTGGCTCATTACAACCACCACCTTCTAGGTTCAAGCAATTCTCCCGCCTCAGTCTCCTGAGTAGCTGGGACTACAGGCACGTGCCAGCATGCCCAGCTAATTTTTGTAATTTTAGTAGAGATGGGGTTTTGCCATGCTGGCCAAACTGGTCTCAAATTCCTGACTTCGAGTGATCTGCCTACCTTGGACTCCCAGTGTGCTGGGATTCCAAGTGTGAGCCACCATGCCTAGCCTGAATTTTCAAATTTAGAAATGACCACAGAGACAGTTAAATAAAAGGATGGCAAAAACAGTCTATAGACCACAGGCAGTTCCAATGTCTCTTGAACTTTAAAATGTTGCCTCTTTTAAGTCAGGTTAAAAGTGGCAACATTCAAAAAATGCTACCCTTTATCTAGTTTTGTAATGTTATTCACTAAATATGAAATGTATATCTGTTGTCATTCAATAATGAATTATATTTACCCTTAGAAGACTGTATTATGTCCCCTACTCATAAACACAGAATATACATCTGTTGGAGTATACCTAATTCCACTGCAACATGGTTAAGCTTTGATCCAAGAAGAACCGGAACTATATAACCGCTATCTAGAAGTGAAAAAGAAAAGACAAATATATTAGTGTTGCCTTGAGCTTTTCTAAGACAAGCATCTATTAGAATGTGCTCATTTCATGTAACAAAGATTCCAGTAGTCAGCAGTTTGCGTTCACTTGAATCCTATTTGCATTAACTAAAGGTTGCAGATACATTGTTTGTTGCTTCATTTTCCATCAACTCCCTGCTCACAGAGATGCTTAAAGCACCTTGTTCCTGGTTTCCTCTCATTCAAATCTGCAGCTTCTGCTCACTTTAACTAAAAGGCAGAGGAAGATGCCCCTCCACTGCTGCCTGACTCCCAGACGATCAAACATGCAGGACTTGGACCATGCAAAATCACTGGGAAGAGCCTTTCTGCTCTGTCATGATTCCCTCCATCTGTCCTCCTCAGCTGGCCTGTGATGGATTTACAGGGCGTGGGATCAAGACAGGGTGAGAAAAGCAAATCCTTCTAGGTGCCCACTGTTCCTTGGCAGGATGCTAAGAGCAGTGTCCTTTCCATATTGTGCCCCAGGGGCCTCACCTCAGCCCTAGCCCTGTTGGTTAAGTCCATGCCTATAGGCCAAGTTCTACTTTGCTCCTGAGTGGCTTCTGACCTCGACTGGAAGGACTGCACATAAATCCTGTCTTCTCAGTCCCCATCTGGTGATGCTTGGGAAGTAAATCATCACTCAGCAGGCTCTTGCCTAAGGCAGCTGACAACTGCAAACCCTAAGAGCAGCTGTGGTCATAAATTTAAATTGGTACACAGTTAAGTTATTGTTGACCCCGATATCTGCGTTGGTAATGCTCCTCATGACCAGGACTGTTCCCTTCTAGTAACCACGGTGCTTTGGGGGCATTTCCAAACAATGACCAGAGCAGCCCTTCTGGAACTTGTGGGTGCTCAGCAAGCAGAATGCCTGGTCAAGTGGAGTAGAGTGGGACTCAAAAGCTTTCCTGCAGCTTCCACACCTCCCTGAGCCCTCTCAGAAAGTGCGGTGCCACAGAGTGAGCAGTGGAGAATGCAGTGGGCAGATGTGTGAGCAAGAACAGGAGAATGAAATCAGCACAGTAGACCCTGGGGTTGAGAGTCAGGACGGGGTTCCCCGGGATTCAGAGTCTCTGGGCAAGCCTGAAATTCTGGCAGACAGGCAAGAGGAGCTGAGATGTATCTAGGGAAAGAACTAACTCTCAGGTCTGGCAGCATGAAGCAACATGGGCTTGAATTCAAAGACAAAGAGGCAGGAGGCAATTTCTGTATGAAGGGGAAAACTGCTACTGACTACCTTTCTCTGGATTAATTTTTCTCCCCGAAACTTGCATGGAAGATTTGAGAAGGGGAAGTGTGAAGAACATCTTGAGCAAAGGGTGCTGTCTCCTAACACTCAAATTATATCATAGGAAATCCAGGTCAGCCCTGAGTTTGCACAACTGGTATAAGGTGAAGAATGTAGTCCCATGTAGGTCACAAAAGGAAGAAAGCACTTCAGTGCATACCCTTGACGTGACCAGTCTGCCTAGGAGGCTAGCATTAGAATAAAAATGGCACAGAGGTCGTCAGCAGTAGGAGACATTACCAGATCAGCCAGAGCATGAGACCAGGAAAGTGGCAGATGCCCGGTGGAAATTCGGGTCACTGATTCACGAGCATGAGCTGAAGGCAGTGGTACTCCTGGGTTCCAAAAACAGTGCCCAAAGTATGGTGTTTCAGCAGGTTGAGTACTTTAAACTAAAGGACATTGGAAAGCCTCAAAATCAAGATCTCTGTGACCTTCTCCTGCCCTCCTGCTTCATGCTCCCATTCTCCCCAAAGCAAGTCATAGAAACCAGACTTCTTCTTCCCAAAAGCAGATCATAAAAACTAGAATCCATTTCCCTAAAATAAGACATAAAACCTAGAAGTATGACTCTAACCTTCTGTCTTTCTGTCTAGGAGCTGGCTAAAAATTCTTTGACCTTCTTTGGTATGACAGTAGGTCTTAATGCCCTCTGCCTTCTATCCAGGAAAAAGAAATGTAACAGAGAGGCCAAGAAGAATCTGAGCAGACAGGTCTTGGTGGGTTTCTTCACTGAGTCTACTAGCATTAGGTCATACCCTTTTGTCCAATCACATTTCTACATGGCTGTCCATGCTTCTAGAGACTAAGGACTTAAAAAGAAAACACTGTTTTCCCTGAGTCTTGGAGTCTTTCTTCCTTCCTTCTTTCCTTCCTTCCTTCCTTCCTTCCTCCCTTCTTTGCTTCCTTCCTTCCTTTCTTTTCTTTTTTTTTTTTTGATTGAGTCCCACTCTGTCACCCAGGCTGGCACATTATCAGCTCACTGCAACCTCCGCCTCCTGGGTTCAAGCAATTCTCCCTGCCTCAGCCTCCCAAGAGGCTGGGATTATAGGTTCTGCCACCATGCCAAGCTAACTTTTATATTTTTAGTAGAGATGGGGTTTCATCATGTTGGCCAAGCTAGTCTCAAACTCCTGGCCTCAGGTGATCCACCCACCTCAGCCTCCCAAAGTGCTAGGATTACAGGCATGAACTGCAGTGCCCAGCCCTGGGGTCTTCATTTCTGAAGGCTTCCATGTCACAGAAAAGTTTGATTAAATAAATTTGTTTTGCTTGCTTCTTGTTAATCTGTCTTTTTTATGGGAGCATTGTCATGACCCTTATGATGGAGAGGAGAGGTATCACAGCTTTCCACCACTACAGCAGTCACCATGTGGCAGGTAAGAGATCTCCATCTGTGATGGCAAGTGTACCGTAATAAAGACACAACATGGAGAAGGCAGGAGCTCAGAGTCCCACTGTCCTCAACACAGGCCAGAACACCTCCTGATGGTCCTCTCTAACTACAAGCTCTAATTTCTGTAAACTGATAGCAACTTTACCAAATCCAAAAGCATAGCTAGTATGGTGAAGTGTCTAGACCTTTTGTTGTATGTAGCATTGAAGGAGTTGTTGCTCTCTCAATAATGCATACAACAGACATGTAATGAGCACCTATTATGTGCCAAGTGCCAGTCGTAGGTATTCAAGATGCAAAGATGAGGAACAGAACTCAGTGCAAAGCTTTCCAGACACTTTTCACGTTATTGACAGAGACACACATGTAATGCAACTCTGACAGCAATCAGAAATACAAACAACAGGTCATGGGGGCATGAAGGAGGAGGGACATTAAATAGAGTCCTGAGAGACTCAGTTGACATTCTCCAAGGAGACAAGAAAAATAAGATGGACAGTTATGGGAGAAGAATATCTTGTGCTGCAGGTGAAGTATGGGAACCCAGCCGTGGGATATGGTCATTACAGCAGAGCTCTTCCTGTCCCTAGAGCCATCCTAGAGCTGTACACAGACTCACTCACTCAGTCATCGTCAACCAGCCCTACAAGGGATGAACCATTACTGTCCCATTTCATCATGAGGAAGCTGAGGCAGAGAGGAACTAAGGAAATTAACTCACCCAAGGCCACAGCCTCACAGAACTGTTGTGAGGATGATATGGGATGATTCAACTCAAGTACTTGGCACAGTCCCTGGCCCATAGCAAGTACCCTTTTAATAACAGATACTCTTATGGCTTCGTCAGAGATGGAAGGAAAGAGTTGCTGATAGGTGGAAAGCAGATGGTGGGAGAGAGGGTGTAGGTTCTGAAAGAATCAAAGGAACAGATATTTATATAAGAATAAAAATACATGTAAGAAAGTAAAATTGGAGATTTAGGGTAAATGATTTTTTTTTTAGATTAAATCTCACTCTGTCACCCAGGCTGGAATGCAGTGGCGTGATCTTGGTTCACTGAAACCTCTTCCTCCTGGGTGTTAGCAATTCTCTGCCTCAGCCTCCTGAGTAGCTGAGACTACAGGCACCTGCCACCATGCCTGGCTAATTTTTGTATTTTTAGTAGAGACGGGGTTTCACCACGTTGGCCAGGCTGGTCTTGAACTCCTGATCTTGTGATCTACCTGCCTCAGCCTTCCAAAGTGCTGGGATTACAGGTATGAGCCACTGGCCTGGCCCAGGGCAGATGATTATACGTAGAATTTAAGTTTTTGAGTTTAAAAATTCAGTTTTGGGTTTCTTAGGCTCTGGGCTGTGGCAGGCAGAATAATAGACCCCAAAGTCTCCCACATCCTACTCCGGAGTTCCCATGAATATGATATGTTACATGGCAAAAGGATCCTCTAGATGTGATTAAATTAAAGATCTTGAGACAGGGGGATCACCCTGGGTTATCTAGGTAGTCTCACAATGTAGTTTCAAGGTCCTCGTCAGGGAGACAGAAAGGTCAGAGTCAAAAAGGAGATGGGATGAGGGAAATTGAATGTGTTTGACTCCGAAATGCAGTGGCACAAGCCACGAACTGCAGGTGGCCTCTAGAAGTGAGAAAAGGCAAAGGCAAAGAAATGTATTTTCCCCTAGAGCCTCTGGAAGTAGCGAATCCTGCCAAAACCTTGATTTTAGCAAAGACCCTAAACTTGGGGTAATTTGTTACCCTGGCAATACGTGGGCGTATATGGCTACACGGTTGTAGTGAAGAGGAAAGATGCTGCTAAAGCAAAGGCTGTACCAAATGTGAGCCCACAGATTTTGCTGAACAAGCCACCCACACAGGTGTTACAGTTTCCAGTTCCTCAGGATGATGGGAGGAAGGGGAATATAGGCTGAATAAACCATTGTCTTCAAATCAACAAAGGAGCTGTCATTTTAAGAAGAGGCCAGACTTAGTCTATGGAATTCTTGAAGGCAAACCGATCAGTGGTTGGAAGCTATAAGAAGGGAATATTTGGACTCAACAGAAAAAAAGACTTTGACAATCAGATACTAAAATCTGGATTACGCTGGTGTGATTTGGTCATTTCCTTGGTAGTTTCCAAGAAGAGACTGGATGATCAATTATTGGCTGTGCTTTATGATGAATATCTTCACTGGGTGAGTTTAATTAAATACCTTTAATGTCCCAGGATTCTGTTCTTCCATCACACACAGCCTGGGTCCAGCATGCCTCCCTTCCCACCAGCACATCAGTGTTCCTTACACTCTCTCAGCAGACAGCCCTTTCCCCAGCAGGTCTTCCCCCATTCATGAGGCTCCAAGGTCAAATGGAGCCTTCTGCATCTGTTCTTCCTCCAACGTCTCCCTGCACTCTTGCAGCCTCACAGATGATGCTGTTTGATACGGTGGCACCTTCAGGTACCTTATTGCCTCTCCTGATTATAATCAAATCCCTTGAGACTAGTACAGAGCTCACTTCATCTCATATTTCCTTGCTTCCCTGCCTCACTGTGCTAAGTACAGTTTATTGACTACAGATGTCTTCAATAAATATTCATGGTGTGAAAATGTAAATTTAACAACAAAAGATTCCAGAATTTACTCAAATATCATATAAGAAAGAGCTGACTTATGTGCGGTTTATTTATATAGATTTTCATTTCCTTCCCAAAAAGAGGTTGTTTTTCAGCCAAGTAGAGGTCCACCAAAATCAAGATTTTGACCCTTATATTTGAACTAGTGATGTGGTCACAACCCCAACTAAGTGGGCTCTCAATTCCTACACAGTTTTGATGAATAAAAAAATTCCATTTTACTAAAATACATCTGTTGCTTCCCAATTCTAAGATTTCCCTTACCTCCCAATACTGTTATATTGAAGGTTTTGGTGATGTTAAATAGTTTTCCATCATGATGAAGGAAATGCACGCAGGAGTAATACCCCTGATCTTCAAACTCAGCATTCTTCTTTATCATTGGGTTTCCCTTGTTCTCCAGTAGCTTTTTACAGTTCTGTTTTTAAGAAAGCAAGTTAAAATACTTAATTATCCAAATTTTTGAGTTAAATATCTTTAGAGAAAAAGAAAAAAAGAATGGAAAGTAGCAATTCCTGTGTATGTGTCTGTTACTTGATACTACTTTTACTGAGACAAAAGCAGTCCCATTGCTGTTGTTATGATTGTTGTTATTAATAGATACTGGGAAATACAGCATGGGGAAATAGAAGCATTGTAGCTGCTTTCATCAATTTCCTTTCACCTCTCTTTTACACGCATGTAGAGAGATACAAACAGAGAGACAGAGACAGAGAAAACACTACAACAAAAATCCTTGCTTGAGTGACATCTCTGTTTCCCACGTGTTCAGTCCAATTTTGTATATTCCAGACTATGCGTCCCAGGGGTGGGTAGTGGGGTGGGAGGAGAATTGCTCAGAGAACTGAGTAGCTAGCAGACCACCCATGCCCTTAACACCCTCCACCAGAAGCCAGCAAGCTTATTAGAAATGCATCAACAATATTCAAATCCATAGGTACACTCAAACATCTCTATCTCACACACACACATTTCCATACATGTCACAGGAATTAATACTAATTGTAATAAATAAAATCACTTTCTTCAATCCAGGACATCTGATATCCAGAGGTAGGTCCCAGAGCCACCCAAGGACCACATTGGAAGGCTGAGGGCTGAATGGCCATCCTTGACCAATGGACACTGTTTCTGCAAATGCCAGGCAAAGAGAACTTACTGCCCACAGACTTCTTCCTCGGAGCTGGAAGCCACTGGGGCTAGACCCATTATGCATAGAATGTGCCCATGAAGCACCCACATGTGTACCTCACATCAGTAAATTATTTATGTATAAGTCAAAGTTTTATAGAACCAGACTAATTTTTCCAAGCTGTAGAAAAGATCGGAGACTTCATTTCCTTTTCCAGTTAACGGTTTACTGATTTACCCTCCTTGCTCTCAGGTGAAATCATGGTCAGTCAACAGGCTTAGAATACTTAGCCCGTGGTCAATTGTTTAGCTAGACATCCTTGCTGCACCAGTGTTCTTAATTTAAGTATCTGTATTTTGGAATTTCTTAAAACTTGGCACACCAAGCCTCACTAATGTACTGTAATACATTTGCACATTGTACAAATTAAATGTACTGTAATACATTTGTACATTGATGGGAAATAGAATCAAGTCAACTCAGTACTGGCTTGAATATTTAGAAAACATTTCAGAATAAGAGCTGTTTTTGAAAACCACAAATAAACAGTGCTCAAGCATAAGGTACAAACAAAAGATTCAAGGAAATCATCATCACTTGTTTCAGCTTTCCCAAGTTCTGTTCAGACCACTCTCTCTTACAGCTCTTCAAAGTTCCATGACAGAAGCACATTATTCATATTTGTTATTTAATATAAACTATATCAGCTGTCCCCAACCATCTTGACATAGAGACTGTTTTCGTGGACAACAATTTTTCCATGGACGAGGGTGGGGGGGGGTTGAAGGGATATGGTTGGTTTGGGGATGATGCAAGTGTATTACTTTTATTGTGCACTTTATTTCGATTATTATTATATTGTAATATATAATTAAATAATTATATAACTCACCATAATGTGGAATCAGTGGAGCCCTGAGCTTGTTTTCCTGCAACTAGATGGTCCTATCTGGGGGTGAAGGGAGACAGTGACAGATCATCGGGCATTAGATTCTCATAAGGAGTGTGCGACCTAGATTCCTCTCATGCCTGGTTCACAATAGGGTTTGCGCTCCTGTGAGAGTCTGATGCCACTGCTGATCTGACAGGAAGTGGTAATGTGAGTGATGGGGGGTGGCCCAGGGACTGGGGATCCCTGAACTACACAATTCGTGTTGTGTGTGTGCATGGATAGGAATGTGTATGTTTTTTATGCAGACACACACTCTATACACACACTGTATATATGTGTGCATATATAATTCCTATAGCATGGTATAAAAGAGCTTTTATTTACTTTAAGTTCTGGAATACATGTGCAGAACATGCAGGTTTGTTACATAGGTATACACATGCCATCAACCCATTATCTACATTAGGTATTTCTCCTAATGCTATCCTTCTCCTAGTCCCCTGGAGTGTGATGTTCCCCTCCCTGTGTCCATGTGTTCTCATTGTTCAACTCCCAGTTATGAGTGAGAACGTGGTGTTTGGTTTTCTGTTCCTGTGTTAGTTTGCTGAGAATGACGGTTTCTAGCTTCCTCCATGTCCCCGCAAAGGACATGAACTCATCGTTTTTTATGGCTGTACAGTATTCCATGGTATATAAGAGCTTTTAAAATTCAACAAGTAAGAGGTATGCTTTTTAATGGTGTGTAAGAGCTTTTAAAATTCAACTGAAGAAAACAGAGAAAATAGGCAATCCACAAAATTGCCTTATTGTGGTTAAGATCCAATAAATATATACAAAAGTTTAATTTATTACTAAGAAAAGTAAAAAACCACTAGGAGTTTTAGAAATTTTTCATATCAAATTTTAAACATTCTAGGAGTATTATTTCCCAGTGTTGTGGAGGTGACAGAAAATTGGGATTCTTTTATCAACTGTGGGGTAAAATTGGCATTACTCCCTGGAGATGAATTTGATTGTGTGGAGAAAAAGCCGTATAAACATGCTCACAGCCTTTGATCCAATAATTCTACATTTAGGGATTTGGTTGAAGGACAAATTACATAAACACCCAAGGATTTGTGGAAATGGTAATCATTTTCACCTTTAAATAATAGTGAAAAATAGGAAATTCACAAATGTCCAATAACAATGGGATTAGTTAGATGAAACCAGGCACATGCAAAATGAAAACCCATGGTTAGAAGAATGTTTAAAGATGTGAAGGGATAGTCAACACATGATTTTTAGAGGAAAAAAGCAATAAAATAAAATAGACCACTTTTAAAAACCAGATCTTCACAGAAAAAAACCACAAAGTCTCTAACTGATGAAATTATGATTTTTGCTTTCTTCATTTTTCAGTTTTCCATCTTCTAATTTTATAAAATAAACTAATATATTCAGAAAAACATATACAATTGAGTTTTAAATATTAAGTATATGTGGCAGCAGAAATGGAAATCCTTAAACTAGCATTCCTATAAATTAACTTATTGAAAGAGAAGGAAAATGAAGGAAGGGTGTGGGAGAGGAAGCTGTGATCATTTATTGAACACCAAATCCAGGGAAACTACTGTGGAATACATATCAATACTATGCATCAGCTCTTGGCAACAAGCCAGTGAGGAACTTGGCTCAAACACCTCCAGTGGGCCATGTGCAGTCAGGCAGCTTCTTTGTTATGAGAGCAAAATGGTAGCCCTCAGCCCCTGATTTGGGAATTTTATCTTTTCCATCAAGTCTTAAAGTTAAAGTATTATAAAAAGCATTACCTTATACAATGATGTGCTGTTGATCAGTTTTTGATAGTAACTGTTTGCACAGGTTATCTGCAAAAATCTTTTAACTCTCACAGCTTTACTAGTTACTTGTTTCTCAGTGAAACAGCTGTGTTTATTTCTTCTGATGACATTTAAGTTCCATTCCTGAGTATGATTTCTATGGAATAAAGGTGTAAAGGTATTTTATAATACTACAGAAACTTTGCAAATATCACCCTCTTCCCTTTAGTAACCGATGCTATATTTTTCCTTTATTTTTTTAAAGAGATCGATTCATTGATGTGCAAACCCTGCTCTGCCTCCTTTTGGTTCAGAGGATCAAGAAATTTAACAACTGTCATGGGAGTAGGAGGTAAAAAATGAAAAGCTGAGCAGTCTACACATACAGAGAAACACACACATGCACGCAAACACACAAACACACACACACGTGCATATCCTACCGCAGACAATATATTATGGATGTCATACAATGTCAATGATCTTCCGTGATGGACCAAGACTTCAGAGAGTCTTGGTCCAGGATGGGAGGGTGGCATTGCTTTCACAAGGTCTATAAACTCCTGATGTTGTTTTCTAAATGTGTGTGTATATGCATTAGGTTTTATGTTTCTCAAGGCAATTTGTTCCAATCCCCTTCTCTTACTGTTGAATAAACCAAAGTCTGGAGTTGCTGCCCTCAGTGTAATTGAATTAGCTCTTTAAATGCCTTACTGACTGAAAATGAGTATGAGTAGATTTTATAGTTGTTTTTCCTCCTGATCAGAAATTAGTGATCAGGACTATCACTAGGCCAGGTGCAGTAGCTCACCCCTGTAATCTCAGCACTTTGGGAGGCTGAAGCAGGTGGATTACACTCCTGTAATCTCAGCACTTTGGAAGGCTGAAGTAGGCTGAGGTGGGCACCTGAGGTCAGGAGTTTGAGATCAGCTTGACCAATGTGGTAAAACCCCATCTCTACTAAAAATACAAAACTTAGCTGAGTGTGGTGGTTGGTGCCTGTAATCCCAGCTACTTGGGAGGTTGAGGCAGGAGGTGGAGGTGGTAGCAAGCCTAGATTGTGCTATTGCACTCCAGCCTGGGTAACAAGAGTAAAACGCTGTCAAGAAAGGAATGGAAGGAAGGAAGGAAGGAAGGAAGGAAGGAAGGAAGGAAGGAAGGAAGGAGAGAAAGAGAAGGAAGGAGAAAAAAGAAAGGAGAGAAAGAAAGAAAGAAAGAAAGAAACAAAGAAAGAAAGAAAGAAAGAAAGAAAGAAAGAAAGAAAGAAAGAAAGAAAGAAAGAAGGGAGAGAAAGAGAAAAGAAAGAAAGAAGAAATTAATTGGAAAAATACAGTATTTTTTAAATGAAGTTCTTAGAAAGAAAATGTTTCCGATTTGATGTTAGCTTACACTGCACCTGGGATGTATAGATTCATTTACTAAACACAGCAGAAATGTGTTGTTAAGTTATCCTACATGCCTGACACATTTGTGCCCACCTGGGCACTTCCAGTTCCCCATTAGGTCTTCAATGGGATAGAAGGAAGACAAGACTAGCACTTACTGAGCTCCAGGTATTAGACTATGCACATGCAAGGGAGATGACTATTTTCCTCAGGCTCCCATGAGAATGCTAAATCTCAGAGAGGTTAAACAACTTGCTCAGGGCACACACTTGCTACAAGATGGGGCCAGGATGCAAATGCACATCTATTTGGCCTCAAAGGCTGGAAGTGCTTTGCACAATTCTAATCACTTTCACAGTCCAATGAATCTGGCCCTTTCACCTTGGGCATGACTTTATGAAAGATTGGCCATGACTGGAGAAGGTGGCAGGCTGGTTGTCATGGTTATAAGCAATGGGTCAGTGGCCATGTGACATGATAGAGCTATCTGGCCCTTGAAATGGATTCAGAATCCCATTGGTAGAATCTTCTTCTCAAGTGTATTTTTGTAAAGTCTGTCCAACTTTGGCCTCGATGAACTCGAGAGATAGAGATTTCTGGATCTCTCTGACCTGTTGCTTAAAAGGAATAGAGTACATGAATAATCCCATCTTGTCACATCGCATTGTTCTCTACCTCTGTAATCCTCAATTCCTAGTGCTCAACAAGTGCTAGAGAACTGATTACACTCCATGTGCAGGACACTGCAATGGGAATGCTGAAACAAGCAACATCACACTGCACCTGCCATCCTGGAGCTCCAAGGCTGGTGAACACTTAGGCCAACTGGCCCAAAGCTGTGACCACACTTTCCTGCCACATGCCCAGCCCATCTTGGTTATGAAAGCCACTCATTTTTGTCCACGCACACCAGGGGATAAGCACCAGCCCCCTCTTCTGAGGCTGCTCACCAAGCTGAACTTGCTGCCTGTCAGCCTAGAATCTGATTATTACATTTTGTTGTGTGCATTTCTCTACACCTTCATTTCTTCACCTCTATCACTGAAAACCCCTGTATCTGCTTCCTTCTTAGTTTTTTTTTTTTTTTTTTTTTTTTCCTTAAAATTTGGTGAGACAGTGATTTTCACTACAGGACTGAATTATCAGTCTTCAGTGGCATGTGATTATTAGCAATGGACTCCTAAGAACTAAAGAATTACTGTTCTAATGGTAAAATTTCAGGGGTAAAGTCTGTTCACTGATAGATTCCACATCGAACTACAAAGGCTTACACACCTAAGTTAGAACACACACACACTTGCAGTAAATACTGCTTGCCAATTGCACTATCTTAGAAGATGTCTGTATCTTCTATGCTCCTAGGTGTCTAAAACAACATGCTTCCATGTAAAATCCCATTTACCGTCAAAGCCATTGTCAAAGCTGCTTCTCTCCTCATCACTTCACTCTCACAGTGATCAGTCTCCAATATCCACTCTGGGACACCTCATTTTTCTCAGCGTCTCCTGTCTGCCACCCTGTCTCTCCACACCTCTCTGAAATCCTACCTCAATCTTTGGCTTCCATTGCTGTTTCCTAAGTCAGGCTGTATTCTCTACTCCCCATATCAGAAAGACGACCAATGTCATTCGCTTCTGTTATTTCCAAGTGATGATCATAGATGCCTGGCTGTCCCTATCAATGTGCTCTCTATGCCCTGTCCAGAATACTTTATTCCTTTAAATAAACTTCATTAATCAGGAGTCAAAAGAGGGGGCAGATGTGTTTGTTGTTCTTTTTCCTTTATCCCATTTGTGAGTATTCATTCTTCCTTAGTTATGAAAAAATCCCAGTTGTGACCCATTTCTGTAATTATTGCTTTTCAAAGGTCACCTGAAGATGTATTGGTGTTTATCAAAAGAACTATTTAATTTTTTCTAATGCCTGGGAGTTCCTACGTATAAAAACAAACTTTAAAATGACCTCGTTTGGTGCAAAACCACAGGCCTGCTACCAAGGTTTCATAGTGATAGCTCACTCTGCTCTCAACAGCATGATTGATAACGATCAAGACTCAGTCTAAAAGTGCTTCTAAAAGAAATCTGCTACATATGAAATCTGCACACGATCACCCTTCCGCTGGCCCTGAGCTATTTCCTTCAGGTCAGTCTCAAGTCTCTATAACAATACCTACATATGTAGGTAGGTACATCTAAAGACAAACACATTCAGTAAGTGTGGGTGATGCTTTCAGTTGACTGCGGTCATTTCATGGAAGTTATGCAACTAAATTATGAGTATTCTGGCAAAATCTAGGGACACCTCATGAGTAAACGTCAAAGCGTTTCCATGTTGCCCTCTCTCACTGCCCCCAGCTGGGGGTTGTGATTGGCTGCCAGACACACTCTTCCTCCACTAGCACTGCCTCCTGGCTCCCATCAAACTCCTGCAGACTGGACTCATGTGTGTCTGCATCAACCCCGTCCCTGCTCCCCACCAAGGACGCCCAGGAAGCTGACACTGTCCCCTTCACAATACATTAATATTACTGTGAAGTCTGAGCCACTGACTTCATTTGACCGGAGGCATCTAGACAATAGGAGCAGCTGAATTTTAAAACTGACTTTCATGCAATTGCAACTTCTTATTGACAAGGATCCCCTAAAAGGAATCCTATGAAGGTAACCTCCTTTCACTAAGGTCATTAAGAAAATATGTGGGTGAAGGGGAGAAAGGAAGCAAAACACACTGCCATGTGTGTACCTACGCAACTGTCTTGCATGTTCTGCTCATGTACCCCAAAACCTAAAATGCAATAAAAAGTTAAAAAATAAAAAATAAATAAAGAGAGAGAGATAAATTTATTTTGTTCCATAACAAAGCATGTATTTCATGTTGTAGGAAGAGTAGGAAAGAAAAAGATGGGCTGATTATTTGACCTTTCAGAGTACTGCATATTTGAGTTGCTGAACAAAGGACAAGAGGGCTATAAAATACACTCTAAAAAGAAACCGTTAACTCACCCCATTTGTAAAAAGTAAGATCCTGTGTCATTCAACTCAACAGGCCAAAACTCCAAAGCATGATCTTGCAAACCAATCCTTGGTGAACTGCTTGGGTTCAGCTCCACACGTTTCTGTGATCCACTGCTTTTTTGCCATCTTCTGGCGTTTGCTTCAATCTCATGTGCATGTGAAGATGAGCAATATTTCAGATAGAAAGGTTCCCCTTCAACCACGGTAATGTGGGGACGTGAAGTACAAGAAGACTCTTCAAAAGATTAGTAAAGTAAAAAGAAATAAAAAGAAAAACGAAAATGACAAAAGTAACTTTTTGTCTCCTAAGGTATTAGGTGAAGAAGCAAAGTTAGTAAGAAAGTCCTGAGAAATCTTGGTGGCACTTTCTTGTGGGTTCTTTTATTTTTGCATCAACCTGTCAACACTAGAAGGGATAAGGCACTTTCAGAACATAGATGAAAACACAACTTCCGACAGTTTTCCCCAACAGGAAGGTATCAGAATTTAAACAATCAAGCTAGAAGACTGTTAAATGTGTCGTCTTTTAAAAGGAAATGTTACACATTATAACTTCTTCATAAGGAAAGCCACAGAACTCACAGTGTTTTCATACCTACCTCAAAACATACCCAGCTGAGGAGTCTCAGTGGAAAACCAGAAACCTAACAATTTGGCGTTCTTTCTTGGCATTATCAGAAATCTCACTCACCTTGCATTCACCCTGCCTATCTAACATTCCTGAGCATGTGTGGGTGTGGTTAAAGGCATGCCTATGTAACTTAGGGTGTGCGTACATTTGTTATTGCTGTAGGTCACCATGTGGATAATCAAGTGTTCATTTATATAATATCAATCCAAATTTGCATATGTGTCACTTTCCCTCTTTCAAGATTGACCCAGATTGTCTGGCTTTGAAAATATACCTGACCCTCATCTACATAGGATAGGTGCTCCTTCCCCTCTTTCTGTACTCTGGTATTTCAAGGTCAGCATTAATGGGTTTTTCTCATAATCTATCTTCTGGTGGCTCTTGGGTGCACTTTTGCCACATTCTGAGGATGAGAAGATTTAAATTGAATGAAACATTTTCTCTCAGACATGAACAGAATGCCCTGTCTGTAGTCATGGTTTATTTCTCAAAGCAGCAGTCTGGTTTTAACTCAAAATTGTTAACCACAGCATAAAGAGGAAGTGCATATCAGAATGCTTCTGCCACATATCAGAATGTTTAGCTGTGGCCCCACCCAAATGTGGCAGAAGCATTCCGATAGGCTTCTGCCACATATCAGAATGTTTGGCTGTGGTCCCACCCAAATCTCAACTTGAATTGTAATTCCCATAATCTCCACATGTCACTGGAGGGACCCAGTGGAAGGTAATAAGTTCTCACTAGATCTGATGATTTTATAAGGGGATTTTCCCCCTTTTATAAGTTTCCCGAGGCCTCCCCAGCCCTGCAGAACTGTAAGCCCATTAAATCTCTTTTCCTTATAAATTACCCGGTTTCAGGTGTGTCTTTCTTGGCAGTGTGAGAATGGACTAATACAGTAAACTGGTACTAGGAGTGGAGCACTACTGTAAAAATACCCAAAAATGAGAAAGTGACTTTGGAACTAGGTAACAGGCAGAGGTTGGAACCGTTTGAAGGGCTCAGAAGAAGATAAGAAAATATGGAAAAGTTTGTAACAGCCTAGAGACTTGTTGAATGGCTTTGACCAAAATGCTGATAATTTCATGGACAATAAAGTATAGGCTGAGGTGGTCTCAGATGGAGATGAGGAACTTGTTGGGAACTGGAGCAAAGGTGACTCTTGTCATGCATTAGCAAAGCGATTGGTTGCATTTTGCCCTTGCCCTATATATAGGTCTGTGGAACTTTGAACTTGAGAGATGATTATCTGGCAGAAGAAATTTCTAAAGAGCAAAGCATTCAAGAGGTGACAGAGCTTAAAAGTTTGGAAAATTTGCAGCCTGAGGATGTGGTCAAAGAGAAAAACCCATTTTCTGGAAAGAAATTAAAGCAGGTTGCAGAAATTTGCATAAGAAATGAGGACCCAAATGTTAATTGCCAAGACAATGGGGAAAATGTTTCTGAGGCATGTCAGAGACCTTCACAGCAGCCCCTCCGATCATAAGCCCAGAGGCCTAGGAGGAAAAAAACAGTTTCCTGGGCTAAGCACAGGGCCCTCTGATGTGTGCAGCCTAGGGACTTGGCGCCCTGCATCCCAGCCCTCTAGCCATTGCTAAAACAGGCCAAGATACCAGATCGGGCTGTGACTTCAGAGGGTGCAAGCCTCAAACCTTGGCAGCTTCTACATGCTGTTAAGCCTAGACTTCTACATAGTGTTGAGACGGCAGGTGCACAGAAGTCAAGAATTGACGTTTGGGAACCTATGCCTAGGTTTCAGAGGATGTATGGAAATGCTGGATGTACAGGCAAAAGTTTGCCATAGGGGTGGAGTCCTCAGGGAGAACCTCTGCTAGAGTACTGTGGAAGGGAAATGTGGTGTTGGGGATCCCACACAAAGTCCCCATTGGGACCCTGCTAGCGGAGCTAAGAGAAGAGGGCCACCATCCTCCAGGCCCCAGGATGATAGATTCACTGACAGCTTGCACCCTGCACCTCGAAAAGCCCAGAAACTCAGCACTAGCCCATGAAAGAAGCCAGGAGGGGAGCTGTACCCTGCAAAGACACAGGAACACAGCTGCCCAAGGCCATGAGATCCTACCCTACCTCTTGCAGCAGCATGATTTGGATATGAGACATAGAGTCAAAGGAGATCATTTTGGAACTTGAAGGTTTAATGACTGCCCTATTAAATTTAGAACTTGCATGGGGCCTGTAGCCCCTCTGTTTTAGTCAACTTCTCTCATTTGGGAGGGTGTATTCACTCAATGCCTGTACTTCCATTTTATCTAGGAAATAACTACTTTGCTTTTGATTTTACAGACTCATAGAGGGAAGGCACTTGCCTTGTTTCAGATGAGACTTTGGACTTGGATTTTTGAGTTAATGCTGGAAAGAGTAAAGGCTTTGGGGGACTGTTGGAAAGGCATAATTGTGTTTTAAAATGTAAGGACATGAGATTTTGGAGAGGCCAAGGGTGGAATAATATGATTTGGCTGTGTCCCCACCCAAATCTCCTTGAATTGTAGTTCCCATAGGCCCCATATGTCATAGGAGGGACCTGGTGGAAGGTAATTTAATCATTGGGGTAATTACCCTAATGCTGTTCTGATAGTGGGTGGGTTCTCATGAGATCTGATGTTTTTATAAGGGGCTTTTCCCCTTTTGCTAAGCACTTCTCCTTCATGCCACCATGTGAAGGATGTGTTTGTTTCCCCTTCCACCATGATTGTAAGTTTCCTGAGGCCTCCCCAGCCATACAGAACTGTAAGCCAATAAAACCTTTTTTCTTTATAAATCACCCAGTCTCAGGTAGGCCTTTATGGGCAGCATGAGAATGAACAAATACACATTCTTTGAAAACATGGCTGTCAAATCTAACTCAAAGCACAAGAGTTAAGGAGCACCAACTTTATGTTTTCTGGTTGCTATGCAAGCTTTATTTTACATTAATACTTTAACATAGAAGGTGTGATACATTTGTATATGTGGGTGTCAATTTCGATTGACACTGAAAACCATGATGAGTCATTAACAGTTCATTTATTTTCCTGTTTTAGAATTAATAGAATAGAATGTATAGACCATACAATATGTGCTCCTTTATGTCTGTGTTATTTTGACATGATTATATTATAAAGGCATTCATGTTATAGCAGTGATGTGTTCCTTTCTCATTGTCATGTAGTACATAATTATGTTATTATTTGGCAATTTATTTTATAAAGGGATACATGTTGGGGATTTGGTTTATTAAACAAATGTCTATTGGATATTGGGTTATTTCTGGGTTTCCAGGTTTTGGCAGGTCTTAAAAAGCTTCTATAAACACATATGACTGTGTTTGGGTAGACATGTGCTCTCTGGAAGTATTATCATTTGAGAAAACCTAATCTGAATTACACACTCTCCAGAGGTGGGAGGTTGATAGTCGAAAGTCCACACTTTATTCCCTGGGCAGCTAGTAGCTTTGGATATCTAATTATGTGTTTGTCATTAGAGACTTTGCTGATTACCATAATGCTTGTTGGAAATGGTCCTTGTTGGGATAAATGAGAGGAGTTCAAAGTGTGCAGAGTTCCAAGTGCCAAAATAGGCACTCCTATTTTTCTATGAACACAGTATAAGAACCCAGCAGGGCCAACAACAATAAAGTCTGTGTTTGAAACTGTCTTCAGTTTGAACAATCATAAGATTTTGTCACTTAAACTCAACTAGGTTCAGTGAATCCTATATGTAGAACATTGTCATGTCTCCCTAGAGGGAACCATTTATGAAAAGTGCTCTCCAGGGCAGGCAGTGAGGAATTTGGCAACTTGGCACAATAGGCTACATGGCTATTTCTATGCCTGAAGCATGCTCTCATTGTAATGAGGTGCAAGGCTGTTAGTGTATATCCACAGGACATGGGACCCATGACACATTTTCCTTCACCTTGCTTTTCCACTCACTCATTTCTGACAGATCATTGCATATCAAAAAACAAGTATCTACCTCATTCCTTTACCATCTGGGTAGGATTGTATTGCAGTTATCTCAATAATAATTGGATCCACATAAGTAAATATACCCTGAGATTGGACCTGTGTTATTCGAAAGTACCAAAAGCTTAATTCTGGTATCTCTTCAGCAGTAATTCTCTAAGCAGGGAACACAGGCCCATGTGCTTCCCTCTCCCAGATAATACATCAAGGCAAATTAATATTTGTGCTCCCATTTTCTTTCCCAAAGCCTAAGGAATTCCTTCCTATTCAATCATAGAACCCTAAAGAATGGAGTCTCGGAATCCTTCTCAATTAAAATAAAAAAAGAACTCTAGGCAATCACTGCTAATAAATTAAAATTGGCGTTTGACATCTACTGTGAAGCCTACTTGAACTCCCTGGTCTAGCCAGACTCTTTTTTGTATATTCCTTCTCGTTTTATTTTTTTAAACCTCTCTAACATATTTTTCATTTAAATTTCTCATTATTACTTAAATAATGGGATGAATATTTGCCTCCTCTCAGGAAGGAGAGAGTGTGTTTCAAACTTTCTAAAACCCAATAACAAAGATGGTTATCACCTCCTCAGTTTCAAATAACATGAAAGAAATTTTCACCTCAGACAAATGTAATTTACTTCAAGATGAAAGTTTTTCACTCTGTTCTCACTACATAAACTTGGACTGCAGAATCTTCTCTTTTCTAATAACACCATGTACGTCTTTTTTACTTGATCCCATTCCTAAGACTCTTATCTCTGTCTGGGATACCAAATGGTTTGCAACGTCACTAATCTTAATAAATTAGGTCGCTAACCTTAATAAATTCAGCATTTTCAGTAGCCACCTTCATATTAAAAGAAAAAACTTGGACATCATTTCTCAATTACTAATAAAATATGTTTGTGAGTATTTATAATCACTTACCTGTGGTGCTTACAAATATAAGCCCCCAAAGGGTCAATGTTAATTCTCTACAATTCATGGTTTTGATTCTGCTTCAAATGGCTTCTCTAGAAAACAGAATATAACAGATTCAGCCAAAGCTTTCAGACAAAAGAATACCTATCTTACGAAGGTTTAAAAATCTTCTGGCACACATATTTTTTGAAAACCAACCTAGAAGATTTTCATATTCCTTAATATAGTAACCAATTCGCAGAACTTTCAGCCATATAAAATTAATAAAATTTCAAGGCAATGAATTTTTGCTTCTGGAAGACATCCTTAATAATTCATTTTTCTGACACAACAGAACTTGATGAATTTCTGCCCTGGTTTATTAAATCCTGCCTCCAAGGTCAAAGTTGAGAACAATAGTACTGCTAAAAATATTACCGTTCTATGAATAAAAAATTTGTGACACGCTGAGCTTTGTATGGCAGTTCTGCCCACGTAAGAGAATGTGCATGTGTTTTCACATCAAAATGCTCATCAAGGCTTGTAGTGAGATCTTCATTCAGGGGTTGAATTTTTAAAACTCCATCTTCCTTGCTCAGAATGCAGGTTTCATAAGTCTGGGAACTAAGTCTATTTTGTTCTTCATTGTATCACTAAAGTCCAGCATGACTCCTAGCACATGGCCAGCACTTGCTAACATGTGTCACTGCAGCATAGGTGTGTATATGTGTGTGCGTGTGTCTGTGACCGCCCATATGAGTTTACTTTAGGGAAATGGAAAAACAATATGACAGTCTCCTATACTCCAGACACCTCCTTTACATTGACCATGACCCATGGAACAAAGATCTGCTTTAAAATTTGATCTTACTACAACCTTGCCTTTGCACTCTGATTACAACTTTGAGAGCCCATTGGAGGAAGGATCTCCCACAGTGGAGACCATTCAGAGTCTAAATACTGCATAAATAACACCATGTTCCTTGTTTAACTATCCCAAGTGCAGGGAGCACAACCTGATAGCAGAGTCTGCTTTCAGAAACACACAAACCTGGGCTGCCACTCCAGTTTGAGTCCTGACAAGCTGAGCAACTTTGGGCAAGTCTTAGAGCCTGTTTGCTCATTACCAAACCAGAGATAAGAAGGCCTACCTCTGGAATTATCCAGTAATTAAACCATCTAAGGCTTACGCAGACTTTTTGAGTGCAGGGCAGCCTCTGAGCCCAGAATAATTTCCTCTCACCAATGACTACTCACCTTCCATCCTAAAAAAAAAAAAAAAAAAGGGTTGTCAATGCCTAAATCCAGGATAAAGCTTAATAGCTAAGCTGCCAAAACATTCACGTCCATACTTATGAGAAAATCATCAAATATTTGGCGGAATTTCCAAGAGATAACAATCAATAATGTAAAGACAAAAGGGACAAGTATGAATGGAAAGTACCAACTGTGCATAATCAAATTAGACCAGTTCTATGGTCTGAAACCTCCCCCACCACCTCCACACACGTTTTATTATTAACTCTGCCTTTTCTTTTATCTTGGATAGAATAAAAAATGTTATTTCCTTTACGTCACTACTCTGGTTAAGGCTCATATCACCTTATAAAAAAGCAACACTTAAAAAAAATGCAATATCTACCAAGATACAAAGTTGAAATTAGAAGATGAGTCAGCAAACTAAGTTAACTCTGAGTTTCAATATGAAACTCATTAAGATTTCAGAATACGAAAAATAGGATCCCAGTAAACAAAAAATAGTTGGTATTTGCACAGCATTCTGCAAATGTGGATGTGTGTATATAAAATGTTTAATGTACTTAAGTTTTACTTGTGATTTTAAGAGATTAAGGTTATATTAAACAATAAATTCATTTACAGAAAAAGAATTATTCTGATAAATGTAATAGGTACTCTAGCAAGTATTAATAAAATAGATATAGAAGAATATAAAATATTAAGTGTCTTACATGTAAGAATTTTAAGGGTTTTTTATTGTTATGTTTAATATCAATATTTTTGCTCTTCCATCACTATTGTTTCTTTCTTGTTTTTTAATTTTTGTGATTGCTGAAGCAATTTACACACAATGTAGGTCATCTACAAAATGAAGACTGGAAGAAGAAAATATTCTCAACATGCAGAATATTTTAGCATGTTTTCTTATACTTTTTATAAATGTTGTCACATAATTAAGATGCTTAAATGATTGCATATCCTACATTTCCAATTAATATGATATAATAAGCATTATTCCTGTGTCACAAAACTCTTTGTTAAAATCATTCTAATTGCCACCTAATATCACTTCATGTGAATATATTACCATTTACCAGATGCATTGTATTATGAGATAATCCTATGATCGTCTTCACGGATAAGGCAGGATGGCTCAGTGTTTTTGCAACATGGGCTCAGGTGCCAGCCTGGCTGGATTTGACTCTCCATTCTACCCTCTACCAGCTGAACAGCTGTGGGCAACTGACTTACCTGCTCTGTGCCTCAAATTCCTTATCCACAGAAAGGAATAATAATACCATCTCCTGGAGCTGATGTGAAGGTTAAATGAGTTACTATTGCAAGTGTCTGGTGAATAGTGTGAATACCACCTCAATGTTGTCTACATTTCTTATTATTTCCTGGGTGTTACTTGATGGCAGCACAGTGATTGAGTTGACTACATTTAAACCTGGCAAATGCATGCTCCCAAACTGCATTCCAGAAGTGCTGCAATAATTCATATTCTCTCACTCAACAGCACAAGACAGTATCTATCAACCACACCCAGGAGATCACTGAGCAACTTTACTTTTAAAATCTAATTAGACAGCCAAAATAGAAAAATGTTATCTCATTGTTTTCTGAATTTGCATTTATTTGGGTATAAATGAGGCATATATTAATCACTTATTACCAGCCATTTTATTTTCATGTTTATGAACCATCTCTTGTCTTTTGTGAGGTTCTCAGATGTTCATCTAACTTGTTGTTTACTTTCTCTCTTTTGTTATGCTAATAGATGAAATATTTATATTGACGTAGTCAAACCCATCATTCTTTTGCCTGATTACAGGTATGAGCTACCATGCCCAGCCATGATTTTTTAATTACTTTTAAGTGTAGAATATCCTTTCCTCTTGGTGGTCAAATAGATGTTTATATATTGTCTTCAATTCTATGGCTCAATATTGTTCTGTTTTGTTTTTATGTTTACCTTTTTTTATCCACAAATAATTAATTTTCTTGTTTGACATGAAGATAGGGTATGACTAAACTTACTTTTCTCAGAGAGCTACTAATTACTTCTCTATTGCCACTTAAATTGTCCTATATTTCCCTTGTGGTTTGCTGACATGAGGTTATAATGTACAGGTCCTCCCTGAGCACTCTGCTGGCTTGCCCAAGTGCAAACACATACACGTTCACGCACACCGATATTCCTCTACCCTCCCACCTTTAGTTTGTCTATTCACAGCACTTATCACTAGCTGACATATTTTCACTTGATGTCTGCTTGTTTGTTATTTGCCGAATTATTGAATGAATTAAATCCATAAAATATATACAATTTGGAATCTAGGTGATCATCTGATCCATTGCCTATAGTGTATTTTTGAAATGCTTTTTAAATCATGATATCTTGGAAAGTGTATTTTAGCAACTAATGGGAAGTCTAGGGAACCAGTTGTCACCCAAGTTTGGAAAAAAAATCATGCTGCCTGGGCTCTACCCAGCATTCTGAAGGACAGCCTGGGCATCCTGATTCCTCAGAACTCCGCACGTGACTCTAATGTGCAGTCAGGTAGAGAGACAACGACCTAAGGCACTTAATTGTATTCTTAGAAAAGTAAGTTTAACTCATCTTAAATGCATGTATTTCATGTGTTTAAGACATATTAAATATTTGTGCACCTACGTATGTATGTATGTGTGTGTACACACACATAACTAATAGTCACAAACTTACCTAAATCACTCAAAGGCATGAAGTTTTCTCTAAATGAAAAAAAAAAAAAAAACTGTTTCGTTCTAAAAATTGGGTGACCCAGGCTGAAGGTCAGATCCAAGCTGACCACTCTCTCTTCTCCCAAGGCAACACAATAAAAGGCCCTTCCAGAGGGTCCAAATGGTCACCTGAACCCCTGGCTCTACCCAGCTGCCCTTGTTTATGGGTCCCACCCTGAGAAACTGACCATTCTCTAGAAGAAGTAATTCACAGAAACACATCATGTACAGGGAAAGAGCCATTTCAAAGCTCTTTCTAAAGAAGAATCCAAGACTCGAGGAAATGAAATGGCCAGCCTCAGATTGCAGCTAGTCACAGGGACACACATGAATCAATGTAGACACCTCGATATAAGCCACTCATTAGCAACACATACAATCAAGCACCTCCTGAGACCAAATGCCTGGATGAAAATCATAACACCAGTGTTTTTTTAATCTAATTTTTCCTCTACAGTGTTCCATGCAGTCTTTTTACTCAGCCTGCATGATGATAAAACAACCTAATGCAGAAAGGAAAAAATGATCTTGGCCATAACACACACACACACACTTAAATTCTAACAAAGAAAGAATTTGTGTGGAATTTGGCTTCTCGTCTGTAAGGCCAAGAAAATCAATGCCACCTCATAGTCCTTGTCACACACGTGTCTGTTATCAGCCTTATGCTTCCCCCCAAATCTGCCTATGCCTGTGCTAATCCTGCCACCTGAGCCACCCTCCCCACTTCTCCCAGCTGCCAGGTCCCTATGGTCCTTGCAACTTGGCTCAATATTTGCCTTTTCAAAGAAGCTCTCCAACTGCAACAGCCCCAAATGGTACATGCTCTTGTCCAAGCCCATCTCCATCACTCACTCCTGCACTAGCTCCCACTCTCCGTTGAGGTCCCTGAGGGCAGGGACCCTGCCTTTTCAATACGCGTTCCCTGACCTGTTGTTCTTTGCCTTTGGATGTGTATTTGTGCAGGGAGAGGGAACACACTGCCCCCAGAACCTGCACAAACCCAGTTCCCCAAATTTACCCCTCCTAGCCCATCCAAGGCCCTGAGGTTGAGACGTGTGCTTCCAATAACATCCCCGTGTATGACACAAAATGGATATTTGCAAAAGTCTTGAGACTAGAGCAAGAGAAGTCAGAGAAATTAACATAATAATCTTGGATCTCTATATCTGGCTGCCATTGCCCCCTCATTAATTTATCTAATTTATCTGATAACTGCGATGCAACTTGCTCGGCATTTTAACTTCTGAAGGCCGGGCAGAATAAACACAAAGGCTCTGGAATCAGAAAAAAAGTAGGTGTGAGTCTAGGATCTACTACTTAGTAGCTGGATGCTCTTGGATAAATAGCTGAGTTCCTCCTCCCTTTTACTAAAGCATAATAATGGTGTGGCCCTTAGGAGGATTAAGTGAAAATAAGATATCTAAAAATTGTCTACATTGTCAGGCACACAGTAAGCATTTAAAAAACTACAACTATTATTATCATTTATTTCCGTCGTTCTCACCTCTCAAGAAAATAATTGGGGATATCTTAATTCCTAAAACTTTACTTTCAGAGAAAGACGGAATGCTGTCTCATCAATTATTCATTCATTTTCTCTCTCTCTCTCTCTCTCTCTCTCTCTCTCTCTCTCTCTCTCTCTCTCTCTCTCTCTCCACCCCCCAAATTGATCTTGTCTGGGGAATGTTCCCTTCCCCTGGGGGGTGCGGAGGGGGTGCCAGTGGCAGCAGCACCCACCCTTACCTTCAGAGCGGCGTCCCGGAGGCTGGGGCGGGGGCGGCAGCTCCTCCTTCACTCCAGGTCGCGACTGCGGAGGCCAGATTCAGAAAACAGGTGAGAAGCAGCGATCCTCACCTCCTGACTACCATGGGACGCGAAACAGAGGTGCGATTAAAGAGATAAGGCACCCAGAGAGGGTTACGAAAACAAAAACAAAAAAGAAGAAGAAGGAAAAAAAGTACAAACAAAACGAAAGAAGAATGTCAGGCGTCTGGCAGCTCCTGGCTGCGAACCCAGCCCAGTGGAGCCTGCAGGTGGGCACGGTCCTCGGTCAGGCGACGTTCCGTCTCCGGGCGTGTCGCGTTCTGAGGCGCTCTCAGTCTGGGGCGCTCCCGGGCATAGAATGCTCCCTGACTTGAGGTACTCCCTGTCTGGGGCCCCTCTGGTTCGGGTGCTCCTCGCGGCGTGTTCCAGGACCGGCTCCTCCACGCAGGCGCACGGCCTGGAGTTACCGGAGCTACTGGATCGCGCGGCCCAACGGGCGCAGCTGGAAAACCCGGCGCTTCGCCCTTTTGCCACGGACGGCGTGGACCGCAGTCCTCTGGCCAGTCCTCCCCAGCGGCGCCGCGCGGGTCCCGGGAGATCCCGGGCGGTCGCCAGGTGACCTGCAGGGCCGGGAGGGGCGCGCCCGGGCCGCTCCCACGCACCCTGCTGGCCGGGGCGCACAGCAGAGGATGCCAGGAGAGAGGATGCCTGGCCGCAGCTGTCGCGAGGAGGGCTGGGGGAGGGAAAATAGGTCCCCCAGGGAAGCCGAAGGTGAGACAGGCGCCGTGTCTCAAGGACACAAATGCGCCCCAGGCTTTCTGCTTTCCCAGAAGGATGGGGGTTCACTATGAGGAAGTAATAGAGAGAGGTGCAATTGAAGTCTTAGTATTTTTTTTTTAAGGAGGCCAAAGGAGAATGTGTGTTTCTAGATTTTTATTGTTTGGCAGAACTGTTATTAAACAAAAAGGAAGAGGGAAACCCATAGCTGACAGGCGAAAGGTTTAATGACACAATGATTTTCATTCTTTTTACCCAATCGAGATAATTCACCATATAATAAACAGAAAAAAATATGTAATTATCTCAATGGATGCAAATAAAAGCATCTGACAAAATTCAACAGGCTTTATGAATTAATAACGATCAGAAAACAACAAGTAGAAATGAACTTTCTTAATCTGATGAAGAACATCTATAAGAAACCTACAGGTAACTTCAAAATAGTGAAACATTTTGCTTTTTTCTAAGATTAGTGATGAGATACAGATTTTGGCTCCCACCTGGGACAACTGCTTTGGAAAAAGTGAAGAAATAAAAATAAAATTAGAAGGCATAAAGATTGGGAAGGATGAATTAAAACTACTGGTTTTAACAGAGAGCATAATTATATGTAGACCAACCTTTGAAATCTACACACCAAAAAAAAGCCCTAATAGATCTAATAGACTAATAAATCCACACATATAGTCAATTGATTTTTTGCCAAAGTACCATGTCAGTTCAATGGGGAAACAGTCTTTTACAAACATTACTGGAACAGCAGAGTATCTCTACAGAATAAGCAGAAAAAAAAAAAAAAAACTCATCCTTGCCTTTTTCTGTATACAAGTATTAATTCACAATAGACCGTGAACCTAAACATAAAAGCTAGAACCACAAATATTTCATGAAAATGCATAGAAGACTATTTTCATGCCCTTGGTCAGGAAAAAAATATATTATTAGCTAGGACACAAAAAACACTAGCTATATGTGAGATAAATTGATTAATTAGATGTCACCAAAATTTAAAATATCTACTAAACAATGACATCACTTAAAAATGAATAGATAAGCTGGAAACATTCTCATTTTACATCTACCTGGCAAACAACGTGTATCCACAATATATAAAAAATTCCTACACATCAACAATATAAAAAGAAATACAATTTAAATAGGGCAAAATATTTTGCCTTTACTAAACAAATATATGAATGGCCAATGAAAACATGAAAAGGGCTCAACATCATCAGCTGGGAAACTTCAAGTTAAGACCATGGTGATACTCATCTAACACCCATGAAAATGACTAAAATATAATTAAACTTGATAATACCAATTACTGGTGAGACAATGAAGCAACAGAGCTCTCATACACAAGTGGTGGAAATGTAAAGTAGTATAATTAGTGTGTGAAACAATTTATAAGTTTCTCTGAAAGTTTAATATGCACCTACCTTATGATCACTCTTAAGTGTCAACCAAAATGAAATAAAAGACAAAATGAAATAAAAGAAAGTATGTTCATAGGAGCCATATTCATAATAGCAATAAACAGGAAACAACTCATATGTTCAGCAACAGGAAATACAAAGCAACGAACTACTGACTCATGCAAAACACAGATGAATCTTAAAAATATTATTGAGTAGAAGTAGCTAGACCCAATACCATATGACTTTACTGATATGAATATAAAGATATGACAAAACTAATCCATGGAGTTAGAAATCAAAACAGTGTTTGCCTGGTAGCACAGTGGAACTTTCTGGGGTGATGGAAATAATATCTGTCTTGTTTTGGGTGAAAATTACACAGGTATGTTCAACAGTCAGAAATCATCAAACCGAACACTTAGGATCAGCGTTTTATTGTATGCTACACAAACTTGATTCAATTAAAAATAATTGATATTTTTCTTACAATTCACAGTCATTTTCACCATGATTGTGTGGCAGACATTCAACAAGTTTTGGCTACATTTGTTTTATTCACTCCACCTTATATGGCAGGAGAAGTATATATTACTCTCACGGTACAGAAGAGGAAATAAGGTCAGTGGTGGTGCTGGTGTGAGTATCCAGGTCTTCTGCTGGTTTCCTGACCTCTTTATGAGTGTACAGCCCTGAGTCCTGAGCCACTGCAGCTGAGAAAGCCCTTGGGGCTCAACTTCCATCCTCCTATTTTTCAGTTGCAGAAACTGAGCCCCTGGGGGCTCAGGTGACTTGGGAAGTGGTGTGTAAGTTTAAGAAAAGGGGTAATAGGCCGGGCTCAGTGGCTCAAGCCTATAATCCCAGCACTTTGGGAGGCCGAGGCGGGTGGATCACGAGGTCAACAGATTGAGACCATCCTGGTCAACATGGTGAAACCCCGTCTCTACTAAAAATTACAAAAATTTAGCTGGGCACGGTGGTGCATGCCTGTAGTCCCAGCTACTCAGGAGGCTGAGGCAGGAGAATTGCCTGAACCCAGTGGGCGGATGTTGCAGTGAGCCGAGATCGCACCATTGCACTCCAGCCTGGGTAACAAGAGCGAAACTCTGTCTCAAAAAAAAAGCGGGGGGGAGGTAATAGAGAAAAGAGCTCAGCAACTTCAGTTTCCCCAGGCCAGCCCTATCTGAGATCTCTGAAGTGCTTCCTTCTTCCCTGCATATTTTCACAGTTGGCTCTAAACCCCATCGGGGTTACCAAGAAGTGTGCCTTCCTGGGCTATATACATGACTCCCATTACACTCTTCTCCCCATGCCTCCCAGAGAGGCACTCGGCACACATTCAGACGATGTAAATATTGAATACTTGCAAAGGAGCTTATAATATACACTGTTAAAATGTATTTTAAATTAAGAAATATGGGGCAAACTGAAGCCAAGAAAGAGATCATTACAAATTCCATGTATTGATGTTCTATATCCCTGTTGTAGAAAAATCCCAAATTTAGCTCTGTGCTTTCAAGTAGCTAATGTAAAGAAGAAAACAAATCAATTCCAAAATTTCCTGTATCTATAAATCAAAACCACACTTGCCATTCTAGATGGATGAAGAAGCAAGGATAAAGACACATCTAACCCTGAGGTTGACACTGGGGATAATTTATTCTTTAGTGGTCCTCATTGAGAGAAGTCAGATAATATAATAAACATTAAAAGAAATATAGTGAAGTTTCATAGTAACAACTCTTGCCATTTATTGAATCCTTACTCTGATCCAAATATTTTTTTAAAGTTTGATTAGCACAGAAACTTCAAGTTAAGACCATGAAGTTAAGACAGAAATCCATAGCTGGGCATGGTAGTGCATGCCTATAATCCCAGCTACTCAGGAGGCTGAGGCAGGAGAATTGCCTGAACCCAGGAGGCAGAGGTTGCAGTGAGCAGAGATCGCACCATTGCACTCCAGCCTGGGTAACAAGAGCGAAACTCTGTCTCAAAAAAAAAAAAAAAAAAAAAAAAAAAAAAGACAGAAATCCAAAGGGTTTCATATTACTAGTTATTTTACTTAAAGAAACTAAGCTTTGGGGAAGGTAAGCACTTTCTCAAGAACACATGGCTGGTAGGCCTAGAGAGGATGTCTTGTTGATTCCAAATACTGTGATATCAACCAGTTAGCCATACAACACCCTTTTCATTGACCAATATTTCAGTAATTCAACAAAACTAAATGATAATCTACAGAAGTAAGGTTTAGCAAATAAAACTACAAAATGCCCAGCCAAAACTGAATTTTGGGGATTCAGATGAAAGTTCGTTGTCTGAATTCAACCTCAATAAGTGTTCCAATATCTTTTTTTCTTTTTTTGTTGTTGTACTTTAGGTTCTGGGGTACATGTGCAGATCATGCAGGATTGTTTCATAGGTACACACATGGCAATGTGGTTTGCTGCCTCCATTCCCTGTCACCCACATCTGGCATTTCTCCCCATGTTATCCCTCCCCGACCTCCCACCCACCCCCTGCTGTCCCTCCCTTGCCCCCCCCCAACAGACCCCAGTGTGTGATGCTCCCCTCCCTTTGTCCCTGTGTTCTCATTGTTCAACATCTGTCTATGAGTGAGAATATGCGGTGTTTGATTTTCTGTTCTTGTGTCAGTTTGCTGAGAATGCTGGTTTCCAGATTTATCCATGTCCCTACAAAGGAAGTGCCCTGATATTTTATTTTTTTATTTTTTTTAGAGAGAGAAAAAAAGAAAAAGAAAGAAAAAAAAAGAATGAAAGAGAGAAAGAAAGAGAAAAAGAAAGAGGGAGAGAGAACGGGTGTCTTGCTTTATTGCCCAGGCTAGAATGCAGTCTAAAAATGGATATTGAATACCTCTTTTATGCCAATAATTGTGCTTAACAATGGAGACAGGAAGGAATAAGGGAGGAAAATAACAAATAAGCAGCCAACCAATATTTCATTTAAACCTGTGAAATACTATGGAATTGCTGAGGAGTGATTTACTTCCAATTATGCAGTCACTTTTAGAGTAGGTGTGATGTGGTACTGATAAGAATGTATGTTTTGTGGATTTGGGGTGGAGAGTTCTGTAAATGTTTATTAAGTTTACTTGTTCCAGGTCTGAGTTCAAGTCCTGCATATCCTTGTTAATTTTCTGTCTCATTGATCTGTCTAATATTGACAATGTGATGTTAAAGTTTCCCACTATTAATGGGAGTCTAAGTCTCTTTATAAGTCATTAAGAACTTGTCTTAATGTATCTGGGTGCCCCTGTATTGGGTGCGTGTATATTTAGGATCATTAGCTCTTCTTGTTGCATTGATTCTTTTACCATTATGTAATGTCCTTCTTTGCCTCTTTTGATCTTTGTTGCTTTAAAGTCTATTTTATCAGAGGCGAGAATTGCAACTCCTGCTTTTTATTTATTTATTTATTTATTTTTTCTCTCCATATGGTTGGTTTGCTCTCCATATGTTCCTCCATCCCTTTGTTTTGAGTCTTTGTGTATCCCTGCATGTGAGATGGGTCTGGATGCAGCTTACTGATGGGTTTTGTCTTTTTATCCAATTTGCCTGTCTGTGTCTTTTGATTGGGGGATTTAGTCGATTTAAATTTAGGATTAATAATAATATAAGTGAGTTTAATACTGCTATTTGATCCTAGCTGGCTGTTTTTCCCAGTATTTGATGTAAATTCTTCATTATGTTGATGCTCTTTACCTTCTGGTATATTTTTGGAAAGGCTGATACTGGTTGTTCCTTTCTATGTGTAGTGCTTCTTTCAAAAGCTCTTGTAAAGCAGGCCTGGTGGTGATGAAATCTCTGAGTACTTGCTTTTTCACAAAAGATTTTATTTTTCCTTCCGTTATAAAGCTTAGTTTGGCTGGATATGAAATTCTGGGTTGAAAGTTCTTTTTTTTAAGGATGTTGAATATTGGCCCCCACTCTCTTCTGACTTGTAGGGTTTCTGCTGAGAGATCTGCTGTGAGTCTGATAGGCGTCCCTTTGTAGGTCATCCAACTTTCTATCTGGCTGCCCTTAGCATTTTCTCCTTCATTTCAACCCTGGTGAATCTGATGATTATGTGCCTTGGGCGTTGCTCTTCTTGAGGAATATCTTTATGGTGTTCTCTGTATTACCTGGAGTTGAATATTGTCCTGCCTTGCTAGCTTGGGAAAGTTTTCCTGGATAATATCCTGAATAATATTTTCCAACTTGGATTCATTCTCTTTGTCACATTCAGGTACACCTATCAAATGTATATTAGGTCTTTTCACATAGTCCCATATTTCTTGGAGACTTTGCTCATTCCTTTTTATCCTTTTTTCTCTAAT